ATTGAAATGTTTACACTTAATTAAAGTACTTTTTAATTTCATCTAATATCTTAATTTAACTTTTGTCTATGCTGCACTTGTACTTATACCTCTCCTTTTGGAGGATAATGTAGGAGGACATTGTGCTATTTGATAAAACTTTGAAAATAATTTCAACCCCAAAGTTGTTACAATACATTTTAATGCTGAGTAAGAAAATAAGGAGATAAACATTATAATATATAATATTGTTAGAAATTTAGTATGGTATAACAAGGCTTACTCAAAGAAAATAATCTACCTGTGCACTGTTACTGTTAGAAAATATTTTTGCTAGGAGATGAATCATTTCTAATTATCATCCGACTTTCACCTGTGCCAGTTTATCTCCTCCTCTAAGGTCTAAGGCAAGGTCGTTCAGCTTACGTGTACTGTGAATATGGAATGCCAACAAAACATTATTATTATTTTACTGCGCTTGTGATCGATCGAAGCTTACAAATAGACAAGAAATGTCGTGGGCAAAATTGTTATTGTTTTCATTATATAGACATAAAAGGTCCATGTGTTTGATTAATAAAGCTCTTTCTACAAAATTAATCTTATTAACAGTTAAAGAATTCTGAGTATTTTTATAATGAATTATTATTTTTATTACATAAAGATAAAGAGGCGACCGGGTACAAAAGGAGAAAAACAAAATTATTTTTCAACACAAACTATTATTAAACAATTTGATAATTCTCTCAAAAGTTATCCTTCAACTTTTACGAGAGAAAAAAATGCATAATACATGTATATATATCTATTTTATAAGCAAGATATTTGAGGCACAAGAAGTTATTTTAATGACTACTTCCACACTACATATTGAAGGTGATTTGTTTTTAGAATACATATACTCATAGTATTTATGAAAGAACACAAACACAAATAAATGAAAATAATGCAAATTTCTCGCAATTCTTTGAAGTTATCTTGTCTTACCTGAGCGAATATCCAAATGCTATAAAAGCATTTAATATTCGGAAAATGCAAATATACCTCTTATATTACAGGAAATGTCAGGAAGCATTGTTTATTTATTGTTCATTAGACGGGTCTTTCTGTCTGCAGCCTTGGAGGTGTTCTCAGCACTTAATGCTACAATTAATTATTCCAGTGATGCTATTTAAAAAACACAGTGATCTCTCGTGCCTATTTTACTATCTATTTTCTTTATAACTTGAAGTAAATGCACAAGTTAAAGTCAGATTCAATATTTTATGTTATAGCTATCGAGTAATCTGCTTACGACACGTGTTTTCCGGTGCCAAAACACAAGTATTTTACAGAAAACACAAATATAACAAAATTACAGAAAACAATGTGTATTCTCAGTTTGGTTGCTACACTTTAATATTGCATTTCTTTAATATTTAATATTAGTAATCACTTTTGAACAAAATGTTAATATATGTTTTATTTTTCACATGCCATATTTTTTGTCTTTTGTCTTTTCTTTTTAAATAGAATAAGTGTTGTTTAAATCAGTTTTGGTTGAAGTAATACAAACACATACATGTATTGAGAAAGTGTGTATACTTTATATAAAAAGAACAAATGTCATTGAAGCATTGACAGATAAAAATATTTGCTTAATTTCTGATAGAAGAGCAATGTTTATTAATATATTATCATCTACTGTGGTAATAAAACATTTATTTACAGAAACTATGCAAATCTTTAAACTGTGATTAAAAAGGATTAGAAAAATTGTATTTGCCATTATATATTGAACAGGTAATTTGATTGAAATATTTACTACACGACGTGCATGACTGTTGAAGAAAAACAGCAGACTTTTGCGGAATTTTCTATCTTTATATACGCTTCTAGTCGAGTCCGCAGCTTCTACTTTTGTTTTTTTTTTCTTATTCCAAGAACCTGTCATCCCCCAATTAGCAGCTCAAGGATTAGCTGTTACCTTGCTTAACGGAACAAATATGTTGATGCACAATTTGCAGAATCTGCCGTCTTGGTAAAGTATGCCAAAGCAATGTTCAGCAGTTTTCAACAAGAAGTTAAATGTAATAATAACAGATATTTATTTTTGTTGACACTGAATTTTCCATGTGCATGCTTATGATGAAATAGCAAATCTCATCAGAATGTTATAATTATGTACATTTTACACATGCCATTTTATTTCTTGTTAAATAAAATTAGTGTTGTGGTAGAAGTAATACAAATACATATTGAGTGAATGTGCTATTTTTATATAAAAAGAACAAATGTCATTTAAACATTGACAGATAAAATGACTGCCTTATTCATGATAGACGAACAGTTTTGTTAATATATTACCACCAATGGTAATATAACTTTAATTTCCAGAAACTATACAACTCTTAAACGAAATTGTGTGATTTTAAAAATGATTAAATTTGCCATTGTCTATATTAAACCGGTAATTTAATTGAAATATTTACTACACGATGTGCATGACTGTTGAGGAAAAACAGCAGACTTTTGCGTAATTTTCTATCTTTATATACGCTTCTTGTCGAGTCCGCAGCTTCTACTTTTGCTTTTTTTCTTATTCCAAGAACCTGTCATCCCCCAATTAGCAACTCAAGGATTAACTGTTACCTTGCTTAACGGAACAAATATGTTGATGCACAATTTGCAGAATCTGCCGTCTTGGTGAAATATGCCAAGGCAATGTTCAGCAGAAAAACTGTTTTCAACAAGAAGTTAAATGTAATAATAACAGATATTATTCTTGTTGACACTGGATGTGCATGCTTATGATGAAATAGCAAATCTCATCAGAATGTTATATATATCACACTGTGACTAAAATACAACAGAATTGCCTGTAAAGACGTCGTAAAAATGTGACCAGGAAACACTTTATGTATATTGATCATTAAATAATTCTTTAACTTTATTAGTTTTATGATGAGGTATTTTCGAATCTGCTAAAGTTTAGAATCGTTTTGTTGTTAACACTTGATCGTTGGATCATTGTTATTTATTTAAGCGAAATATTTGTCTTAATCAAAACTATTTTCATAAAAAATTATATTCAAACTAACTTTGAGTACAATAAGTAAATATGAAATTCATTTTTTTTAAGTTTAATTTATTGATCTTTCATTTTTTATATATAAAATATTTTATAGTAATTGTAGTCATTTTAATAGTTTAATTTAATGTTAATTTGTATTGAAATCAGGTTTAAAGTATGTCTTTCTCCAAATGATAATTTCTTTGTTTGTATTTTGAAAGGTTTTTGTATAACTGACCGAGCATGACTTGCAATAAAATCACACAATGATAGTATTCATTTAATTTGAGATGGGCTTTGGTCATCCTTTAATTCGTTTATGCTTCCTTGTTCAGGTTCTGTGAGGTATCTTTCAAAAAATAGTGTCGCAGGACCTGAAGACAATGCACTAAGTTACCTTACTTACATTATGATAACACACGTGATTGCTGTGCACACATCGCCATATGCCTTCTCTTACCATGCATTCCATCAAGATTATTACCCTTCTATCAATATATTATCACTTGATTAATTAGTCATTTATACATATAGCACACCTTGTTATGTGTATTCCAGAATACCTATGATGTGATCTGACGATAAACAAAATAAACAATTGATTACACGTCTGGGACGTGATACCATCCATGGACCAGGAAGGTGTACTGTTTCCGCTTTATTTCAAGCTAATACTCTTTGATTGTTTAATAAAATACATTCTTTAGAAATAAAACTATATTATAAAATAGAACTTTTCATTTTAGCAAGTTCTGTCTTGAAACAATATCTAAAATGATAGTATCATATTTTTATAACATTATTGATAAATCAAATCATATTTATTATATATACACTAAAACTCATTTGTAACATAAATTCACATATCATATCAAGTGTTTCAATGACAGTAGAAATGTAGGTTTTGTAAATCAGTTGACATGTTCTTCGTATCAATGCTAAGGAAACAATTATATTTTTGTTGTAGTTCGATAAAATTAACAATGGCGTAATTAAACTTTGAAATAACGAGTTGTATTGAACTTCGTATCAACTTAAAACAGTTATGAAATATCTATAAAATATAAGATAGATTATTCATTATGCCTATATCATACCGTATCTTCATATTAACATTGTATCATAATGTAATTTAGAAACTTCTACTGTTTCAATTATACATATATATACTGTTCAATGTGTTTTAAAGCATAAGAATAGTATTATGTAATATGTAATGTAATTCACTTTTAATATACATGCAGACTATATATAATCATTTGAACTGTGTTTTACAATTTGCTCTCATTTTATAGCTTCTATATGCATGTAAGAGAAAATTAGTTTATTATGAACTGACAACAACTTTTTATACGGTTCTCAACAATATTACACCAGCTTTAATACGGTTCTCACAATATTACACCAGCTTTAATACGGTTCTCAACAATATTACACCAGCTTTAATACGGTTCTCAACAATATTACACCAGCTTTAATACGGTTCTCAACAATATTACACCAGCTTTAATACGGTTCTCAACAATATTACACCAGCTTTAATACGGTTCTCAAAATTATGAATCTCCAAAGACAACATTATTATGTCGCAGCCATTAAAGTCAAGTAAACAGAATGACCTCATAAAACACCTTTCTTGTTTTGTTAGGTGTAAAAGCGTTTGTTTTATTTCATTGTATTTTGGCGATCATTTTCATTTGCTGATTCTTTAAATGTATACATGTTCGATTTTAAGTATCAATTACATTAAATATGTCTTCAAATATTTACATTGTTATATTTTCCCTTTCTTTATATTATAATACCAGTGAATATTTGCCAGCAGATGCCATAGGCCAATGTACGTAAAATTTCTGGATCTGCGTTAGCGTATCTGGTTACACTCCTACTTGCAGACTACAGGTAATAGCTTTAAATAGCTCCACCTGGCGGAAACCTCTGCTATATAACTTAATGTATACAGGTATTTAAGGAACAGAGTTTCGGGAGAGCAAGAGTAACAAGTCTGTCAGAGCTGGGCGTTAGAGGAATTTAACCTGTTACCGTGGACGGCACATTTCGTTATATTTGTTCTACCTTGTTTTTTCTCTAGTGTTTCAGACATTTTAAATAACCAGTAAAGATGTCTTTCATGGACGATTCATCCTCCACTAAAGTGACTCGCGTCTCTAGGACATACAATGTCTACAGAGGATCTTCTCCTTCTTCACAAAACAGATTAGAGGTAAGTGTTGTTTTATTGTTTTAGATTGTTTGTTTGCTTACTCTATAACATTTAAGTAACAAAACTTTGCTAGATATTGCTGCTTGGTTGCTTGCAATTAGTAACTCTTTTAATGTTAAATATAAATCAACTATTTGTGCTTATGTTCATGTAACTGTATACATAAATGTTTATTCTAAAAAAATGTGTCTTGTATATGTGCTTTATCATAAAGTGTTGCTTTCAGAACGTCTTGCTTTCAGTGTTGATACGACATTGGATTACGTGAATGTATTTTTCAATGTGATGTTTATGTGTTTTTTGATAAATGTGCAATCGCTGCTTGAATAGTGCTTTATGAATATTATAAACAGTGCATACTGTATGGAACGGCTTTAATATCAAACTTTTAGGTTCTTATATACGGATTTAAATGTAGATCAAAGGATTAAATACATGCTTGTGAAATAGCTTAGCTTTTTTCTGTGAAATTGGATTTAATGAAGCATGGACTATCCGAAATGAGTGTAAAATTATTCGCCACTGGAACAAATGATCAAGCCATTCCAATTGGTCAATACTACAGAAACATGTAACACAAATACTGTTATGATATTAATAAGTATTACGAGAAATTCTCATGAACAACAAGTATCCTTGACACAAAAAAGCTATGAAAAGCTGAAATAATCATTTCTACCTGTATATCTCAGAGCGTAACCATAACAATACCAGAATGTAAATTTTCAATGTCATAGAGGTCAATTCTGATAGACTTTAATCATCAGGCTTTGCTAAACAAGACTGAATTATCAAAATTCGCGACACAAATATGTTTAAAATGTTTATAAATGGCGGACATAAATCCAGGAAGTTTGTGTTACTATGGAAACAAAAGCTCCACCTGTCGATTTCCCTGTTTTGGTTAGAATGTATTTTACCTGTACAGATAGGTTTCATTAAATCTATTAATAGTAACAATTATAAGATCGGGAATTTTCTATTAGTCTCTGAGAGAGTTTACCGACTTTAATGTTTATAAGCAAGTCGAATCGTATGATTTTATTAGATCTTTATTAAACAGTACTTTAAAACAGATAAACAGACATCAGCTAGTTTTAATTGTTTTTATTATCTAGCAATAAAATAAGTTTAGTCAAATGAATAATAAAAGTGAATGGACAGATAATTTCCTTTGCTAAAATGAATGTTTTTTTTTAACAAATTCCTCTGTGTAAAATGGCGCAAGCTATCAGCAACAGTTAAATTCCGTATCAACTGAATAATATTCTTATGATTAAATAATAATTTATTTGTTAAAAGATTTTTTAAGAATCATAGACGTTTCGTTACAAAATCTCTACAAAGTTTCTCTGTGTGTCAATGCTTGTAGGCAAAGTTTTAATAATGTCAGGTATACATTTTGTAGTTATCACATTTCTTTACTGATTAGCTTTTTCTTTTGTTTATTTTGTTTAACTAAAAAACTTAAAAAATGTGGCATGGTATTGTTCATTCTATGATCAGCAATAAACAAACATTAATTATGCCGGAAGATAAATACAAAACATAATAAACAATATGGAAATAAAGCCGAAAGAGAATGATTCAGTATTATGCTAGAATTTTGTTTGAATTGTCAAAATATTGAGCCGCCATTTTGTTTTACTCGAGTGTCTAAAAATAGACGCTGCCTCCTTTTATGGATAGCGCGCACCTAGGTATGCTCGCGTGTATTCATACACGGATAATTCCAGGTATTCTATATCTGTCGGCTCATCAGTGAATCTTAGTCTCTGAAATTAATATAAACTGACAGCTCTCACGCGCGTTAATTAATGCAACCAAAACACTTTTGTGTTAGACAAATATACTTCACGGAACTTGTACTTATTAGCACTTTTGCATTTTATTGCAATAAATGAAATGAAATTAAAAGAATATGGACAACATAAAATGATAAAACAAAACAAGACTTCCTGGTATTTCTTCCTTCCTGCACGATAAATTGTTGATATGGACTTGATTAACAAATGAGAGTCGACTGATAGGAAATAAACAGAAACTGTCTTATCGTCTGCTTCTTATACACTTCACAGATTACTCCAAAATAGTTAACCGGTTAGTCTTATTGTATAGTCTGCAATTAATTATCGGATGAGAGAATGATATCATAATAATGCTATTAATAATAATAACTATTGGTGATAGTTATGATAACTATTGTTGATTGTCATAACATTGGTCAGTATTTGCTAACCATTTCCCCAGTCTACAGTCTCTTTCATATGATAGGTACTCTTCAACATTATACACTAAAGAAATAATAAAACACTCTTATATTTTATTTAGCTTACAAAATTTTACTTTAATATACATGAAATAAAAACAATAACAAAAAGGAGATAATATTTTTTTATGATATATAATAGAATACATATTGTTCAACGAGTCTTGAATAGCATGAATGAATGGAAGTTTAGTATTATTTCAACATTGAACTTAAGTGATTAAAGATCGTTAATACATGTATGCACTGAAAATAAATTAGTTATAGTTAGTCGATGTAGTCTTAGCTGCTTTCACTTTCAGATGTTGACGGCGGCATTACGATGCGCTTTCTGTACATATAAATTACGTCATCACTTATTGCATATATTTGTCCAATAATAGAGTTCTGGTCCAGGATCCTCGTCACGAATTGTGAAGAAAAAAACTGTAATAATAAGCGGAGATTCATCACATAGCGATGTTTCTGATTCAACTAGAGTAATCCAAACAAAAGACGTGTTTCATAGGGACGCAGAGCTTCGCTATCAGGTAGAAGCTGGTAATTGTGGTTAGAGCTTTTTGGCTTGGCACCTTTCAAACCCTTGTCACTGAAATCCGAACACCAGCTTACCTGATATCTTAATTTGACAGCTTCCATCTTGAAGTGAATAACTCCTTATGATATCAGTCAATGAAAATATATCAATCCCATAACATCTTATCCCGACGAAGTGATTTCACAACATTTTTTAAAGATTTTACCCAAAAGCAGGAATAGAAAACAGCGGTCTGTGTGGAAAGCGATAGAAATACTAAAAATCCTTTTGACTTGATGTGTATTTTGGTATTTCTATATGAATTGTTCATATTAGCGCATGATAGATAAAGTCTTATCCATCCATCAACAAAACAACAAACATGTCATCCTCAAATAAACCAGTGAACGTCTTGTATTGTAGATTTTTGAAATGTTATCAATGTTGCTTTTGGCTGCATGCTCGCCTTGCAAATGCTTTAAATACTTGATTTATATCATTTTAAATAAAAATTCTTTTTCATTTCATTAAATCAGTTTTGCTTAAAATAATACTAGTCAAAACTTTTAAGTCATTAGATACTTTTGTCTGTTCGAACTTTGTTTTTAAAGCTACTATACTTCATATATATGATGATTTTATATCTTATTATTTCAGAGTCGTATCAGGGAACTAGAAGATGCGCTTGATGGCGAAAGAGACATGCGCCTCAGGGTAAGTAAAATTTATTTCACTGATTCGCAAGTAATAGGTATGCCAGAAATATTATCAGACAATGCTTACCTTCTTGTGGCTGAACACTTGCTAAAGTTCATGCTTTCTGAAAAGGCATTTGGCACACGATATAGTTGTAATCAACAGACAAAACAATAATGTTTACCGGTAAGTTATGAGCGTTATTATGACTCAGTAATGTGTATGTCCTCAAAATCCATTACTGCCTGATTATATAATATCAAGTCACTCCCATCTAACTTAAACATTCTTACTGATAAACATTCAAGACTTTCACATATTTTTACATTTATTTTACCTGTAAGTAATGTCAAAATGCTGACTTTATGAGAAGTTATTGAACTTAGTGACTATATATGATACAAACATATATATATCCCTGTGCTGTTTTCAATATATGTCAATTATTTACATCAGTTGATTAATATAATGAACAACAACATATCCTTGAGAAACAAGAACAAAAATAAGATTACGAAAATCAAACTCCAACGCAAGACAAAACTATAGAATTTTATTTGTAGGCGGTAAAAGTGATACTATAAACACTAAATAAATTACAGATTTAGAGCAGCATAGCTAAAGTCTGTTTTACGGTTACAGGAATGTGTCTAAGTCTGTATACAACACCTTTATCTTATCCATCAGCAATTCTTCTGACGCAAAAAGATGTTTTATTGACATTTAAGAAGCTGATTTCCAGAAGTTTTCAATATTTATCTAAGTTGAATGTAGGTAGAAATTTGTTGTTGCGGGAAGCAGTAGTTTAACCGCTGTTCTAATATTCAGGTGATCATGAAGCTGTAGATATGTTGTTTTTTTTCTCTGTGGAATGCTGAACACTCCCTGTTATATATACTTACAAGTTATTTCGAGTAAAAAGTCGACATGCAGCTGCAGGACTTGGCATAGTACTAGTAGTTTTATTCTCTAATTTGCGTATCTTCCTTTATATCTATCTATATAATATTTAGGATACGTTGTTTATAAAAATGCTGATAAAATGAGAACAGTGCATTGCTAATTGTAAATATTTACAGAATATACGTGCATTCATATCATTAACAGGTAATATGTTATCCCATCTGTACATATATATTTATATATACATGTATATATCGTTACTTACATGCCCGTCTATCACAACACCTTGTTAATCTGATTTGACCCATCTATTGGATATGCAACTTCATATTATGAAAAAAAAACGTCTATTATAACATACAATGAGATAATCTACAATAAAATGCGGGCTTGCCATTTATTTATTATAAGGTGTATTGTTTTTGTGTGTAAATTTAAATGTTACACAAATTGACGTTTCTATCTTATATCTGTTTATCTTTTTAAATGCTCAGCATTCTTCTATCATCTTATCTCTAATGTTTTGGTAAATTCCACGTCTGCTGTATCACCATGGTTACCACACATACGTACCAAACGACTTTTCCATTGAATATATACAACCTGATAGAGCAGAAGGTCGCTGAAATAAATTCATAACTTATAGCTTTATTACTTGCTGAGCGGTACCTTAGTCATTGTCATAAATACATAATAAATTATACGAATAGAAAGTTATAATTTTAAGGAGATTTTATTCCCTGGGCCTGTATTTTATGATTATATCATTATATATATAAGAAGTAAATAAGTTCTTTTTTATAATAAACGATTTTTGCAGTACAGTGATATTTGATTAATGCAATATCTTAAAAGACAAATAAGCGAAATATTTATTCTATTGACGTTTGATAATCAGATCTAGATGTCCTGTATCATATGGCAAATCTACCAAAATATATAACTGTATTTCATCTGCAGGCGCTGTCGGCAATAATGATTTTATCTTCCCTCAAGATAATTAGATCTGACAAAAGACCTATGAAATAAAGTTGCATCTTCAGCGGTTTATAATTCATGTTACAATAATCATTACCTGTATAATCTTCCTACTTTCATTCACTTTACTTTCCTTAGTAACCGTTGCTATATAAGTCTGCGCGTGCCATGCGACGTCACTAGTGTTAACCAATAAATATGTATGTTAGATTGTGGTTCACGCTCCTCTCCTCTCTCATCGAAATACCTCAACGTCATAACTGTTGCCAAACTAATTCTGATTTATGATGTAAAATATACGAAGAACTTAGAAAAAATACTACGGCAGACGATATTCATAAATGTTTAGACAAGTATTATATTGATATTGTACCCGTACATAAACCCTCTATAGACCTTCTGTCAATTACAATAACAGCTAATGAATATAATTGCTGACTTTATATCATGTATGTATGTTCTAAAAATATAACATATGTCAAACAATGCATCCAATATTTAAAAAAAATGGACAATACAAACAATACAAAATAAATCAAAATAAAATCAATTTATTTGCATAAAAGCATTCCAATGTGAAATTTAATAATGTCTGTCCTAAACAAAACCAACACGTCTGAGCTACACTGTTGGGGGAAAAACAGCCATTTATTTTTAGAATATCATCCGAAAAGCAAAAAAAAAGACAAATGATATAACGTCCTTTATATATTTCAGTTTGAGAAACAGTGCGCCGAATATTCCTTCCAGGTCGAACAGCTCTCAGACAGACTCGAGGAAACCGGCGGTGCATCGAGCATCCAGGTAGGTTTGACTTTCCGACCTGTGATTCATTCATGATATGGCATTTAATATTAAAGTTAAATTTGTTATAATTACATTTAGATGAACGGAAAGATAAAGATACAAATGACATTTTATTGTCGTTTGTTCCTTTTAAAAACTAATTTGAATTTATCTTGTTATAACATTACTACATGATGCTATGTGGATTAACAAATGTTTAATGCATTATTATATGTGAAGTGAACACAGTTTGTTTCCAGTTTAGCTACTTGTCTGACAACGTTTCTGTAGCAGCAAGAAAATCACACTTGGAATCGTTTATATATTGAAGGTCATATGTTTACCCATATGATGAAAATTTTAAAATGTATATCTCTTATTAGCATGAAATGGTTAGAAAGAAGGACGCCGAGAACCAGAAGTTGAGAAAGGACATTGAATTGCTGACCATCCAGTATGAGGGTCAAGAAGCTAGCATGAGGAAGAAACACCATGAGGCTCTTAATGACATGTCTGACCAACTCGATTATCTCCAAAAAACTAAAAACAGGTACACATGTCTGTGTGTAAATGTTTAATATATGTAAAGACTTTGTATTTTCTTTCTTTCTACACATAGGCCGAAATGGTAAGAAAGAAAGATCAGGAAATAACAAAAGTGAGGAAAGAGATGGAACTGTTGGTTATCCAATTCGAAAGCCAGGAATCTAGTTTGAGAAAGAAATATACTGAACAAACCAACGACCTTTCTGACCAAATCGATTATCTCTCCAAAACCAAAATCAGGTTCGAGTAACTCAATACAGATGATACATGATACAAACCACTGTTCTGTTCAACTACAATTTTGAATCCTCCATAAGAAAACAAACATTTACAAGAAAACATGAAAATATATAAAAATGTAGTTAACAGAATTTGTGTTTGTTCTTCAACTGTCTTTGTCTGAAAGTTGCGGCTATTTACAGGTAGAATACTTTCATATAACGTTTATATCACAACTTCCATTGTTTATTTATTTATTTTATTAACATTCATATACTCATTAATTAAAATGTTCATTTAGTCAAAAGTAAACCCGTCGCGCTTAAAGACAAAATGACAGTTAAAGAAACCATGTATCAGAATACATGTATGTAAATTGATGTGATATAATGGATATCAATTACAATTTACATACTTGTAGCCGAGTTTAGAAATAGTGAGTCCGCTTTGGAAAAAAAACCCATTCTTCCCTAAGGTTACGGCCTCCCAATTACAAAATCTTACCAAATAACTCACCAACCTTTACTTCGTTACAAGGCAGAGTGGGGGTGAAAACCCTGTTTCTTTCTGTTTCTACTAATGTCAAACTAACATGGAAAACCCAATTACAATTTACAAGCTATGTTCACGTTTTATACATTTAGCTGAAATATTTCACATCTTTTACTGAATAAAATGTTCACTAAAGACCGATTATTACAGTATATATCTAACATGAATCAAACCATTCTACCTTTGTTCTTACGTTGGTAATTATATGTTACTATCAAATAAACTAATATTCTTGTTAACATGATCAATAAAATAATTAATCAACGACTTATATTTATTTACATGATACATTATCGTGATTCATTTATTCATATATTTGTACTAATCAAGCACAGAAGATTAATAATTACCAAGTTGGAAAGAAATACGACAAAATTAATGAAGCATACCTTATAACAATTTTGTTAAAAGTCTACACTGCTTTTACGTGTGTGTGTTTGTGTTAAATGTCTTGTGCATGCTGCTTATCTGGACTCCGACAAAAGAAAAAAGACCGCCATTATGTGTGCGTGCTTGTGTGTGTATATGTGTGTTTAGTGGTAATCAAGGTGAACATCAAATTTAACATATTATTTGCCACTATCTGTACAGAGTTGAGAAAGAGAAGAGCCAGTTACTCGTTGAGATCGACAACTTGCAAGGAATCAACGAAGCTCTTTCCAAGGGCAAGGTTAGACACATATTTCATTCCTTTGACTACTATAATTTAATCTATTGTTTTAAAACATTGTTTTTCACTACATATTGCCATTGATACTGTAACCGTATTTGTAGTAAAGAAAGCAGTGAAACGAAACGTTTGGAATATGCAAATCATAATGTTTAGATATTTCACAAACATCTAAATTGTTACCTCAAATATAGGCTGTTGTGACGTATTAGATTGGTTATCTAGTTGGATACTGATACATTTATTTAAATATGTAAGAACAATACTGATCGTATTATAATATTAACAGGCTTCAGCTGATGCTAAGGTAGAAGGACTTGAAGGATCATTGGCTAGATTGAAGGCCCAGGTCGATGACCTTACCAGGTAATTCATTATATATACATCGTATTACACATATAACTCTTTATTTTTCATCATACTGTTTCCAACCGTTAATTGCCTAGTTACGAAAATATATTGATCTACATCTGTTAGAAAATGTTATATAAATGTTGTTTTCTGAACGACTGATTTTAAACTTAACTGGCAAAATTAATCTTTCAGACAATTGAACGATGCCAATGCAGTTAAAGCCCGTCTCACAAAGGAGAACTTCGACCTTCAGCATATCAACCAGGAATTGGACAGTGCCAACGCTGCTCTTGCCAAGTCTAAACAACAACTCCAGGTCTCATTGGACGACCTCAAGAGAAACTACGATGACGAATCCAGGGTAGGTTCACCTTGGAACATATCTAAATAGATCATTTCATCTTAAGTCAATATAGTTATGAAATTAAACATAGTTTACCTAAATAATTACAATTTTCGATTGTTAAGGGGATGAATTTCCATGAAAAGAAAAATGAATGTTCAGATATGAAAAAAAGCAGTCAACTTTTAAGTGTACAGAATAACTAGATAACTAAAAATATATTCACTCGTTCTATTTTAATTGCAGCAAAGACAGAACCTCCAGGTACAACTCGCCGCACTCCAAGCCGATTACGATAACTTGAATGCCCGCTACGAGGAAGAGTCCGAAAATGCCTCCATGTACAGACAACAGGTAACACAATTTATGCAAACATTTATCATTGTATGATAGACTTGGCTTAAATGTATAATGTTCTTTGAAAAAAAATCAATTCCGATTGTACTCTCGAATTTTCATAATTTGGTTATGTCAAAAATGATGTTTTTATCATGTAAGATATTTGCATATGTGAAATATGCAGTAACCTTATTGTATTTCTTTTCGACAACAGTACAGCAAGCTTCAAACCGAGTTCCAGGCTATGAAGACCAAGTTGGAAAAGGATCTGATGACCAAGACCGAAGAATACGAAGACCTCAGGTATTTAACTAGTCATTTAACACAAAAACTTGTATTTCTTTAAATTCTTTACACATAGTTTCATATTATTCGTTATTTATATCCTTGTTGAACTTAATAACCTCCCTTGAATGCCTTTTTTCTAGTTATCAATAAAGATTTTCAAAAGCGTCTTGACTATGCCTTTAAGTCATATGATTGTATAATAATACCTCCACAAATAACGACAGAAATTAAGTTATAATAGTAAACAAACAAAAAATCAAACCAACAGGTCGTTTTAGTCTCAAAATCAGCATATATTTCAACACTTAGAATAGAATGAATGTATAATGCACTATATATTATGTGTTAACAGACGCAGATTGAGCGTAAAGATCCAGGAACTCGAAGACATGCTTGAGCAACAGAGACAGAGAGCCGCCAACCTCGAGAAGGCCAAGAACAGGCTGACCATTGAACTCCGTGAAGTCACCATCGAACTCGAAAACGTAATTCTTATATTTCGTTTCCATTTTCTTTATATTTCTCCTTTAAAAAATATAAAAAGATTTGATAAATGTGCTTGTTTATTTTAGATGCCGTTAAATTAATAACAAAATGAAAATACAGTTTCAACTGTTAATAAGTCGTTTCGAAGTTTCGAAGCATAACAGTAGTATTGTTACAGTATAAGATTTATGATCTGATCTGTTTTATCGGTTTGATTTGATTCATCATTCTATTTTCCTCTCATCAATAGACCCAGATCATCGTCCAGGACCTCACCAAGAGAAACAGACAGTTGGAGAACGACAATGCCGCCCTCCAGAAACAGAATGCCGATCTTGCTGCTGAGAACCAGGCTCTCCGTGCTGACAAGGCTGCTCTTGAAGCCGAAGTCTACAGACTCAAGGTCCTTGTTGCTGAACTCCAAGAAAAGAATGCCAACTTGGAACGAGAGAATAAATCACTTTCGGGTATACATTTTTTACTGTCATCATAACAAAATCAATGTTTTAATAATTTATTTTTCTGCTCCGATATCATTTTATGATCATGTGATAAAACAGCATTCTTATTCTGACTGATGGGATATTAGTTTAAAACAAAAACTAAGTTTATAATTGATAAACAAGATTTTTATGCTGAACAAAAGCTATATTCATTTAACTTTACAGACCAACTTCGTGAAGCTAACAACGCCTTGAAGGATGCCAACAGAAGAATCAATGACTTGACCTCCGCTAACGCCGCTCTTACCGCTGAACGCGACAACCTCGCCGCAGCTCTCCGTGACACCGAGGATGCACTCAAGGACGCAGAAAACAAACTTGCCAACGCCAATGCTGCCCTTCAGGCCCTCCGTGCTGAAATGGAACAGAGACTTCGCGAAAAGGATGAGGAAATTGAAGCTGTCAGGTATGAAAATGAAATTTAACATTTGTTTTGCATTTTTTTTTTTGTAAAAACATCGATGTATTAGTAAATGGCAGTATGTTGAAAACTTATTCATAGATACATTATAGCTACTGTATCTTAGATAAAATTCTTTCAATTTTAAGAATTCGCTATCTTGTTACGTTTGGAGTAAAATTCGTCAATTTTCAAGTAATAAAATCTTGAAAGCAATTGCTTTTTAGCAACTGCTTAGTTATTCTTTTTTTTTTATAAAACAGATCATTATATTCACGATAACCGATTTATAACCTTCTATGAGATGTTGTGGGCGATAATGATTACTTATTCCAGCAAAATTGTTTTCGGAACGTACTTACCCTTTAAAATATTCACACCTTTTATTAGAAAGACAGCTGTTATAAACATTCAGAAGTTTCAGCCCAGACTTTTATCTCTAAGGAATGTGTAGGTATACACAACGATGGTTTCTGGATCATGGCCAAACAAATATTTTGAACCTTACCTGAGATACTTTATACCTTCTGTTAAATATATAGTTCTTATTCAAAGGTAGTCAAAGAGAGTAAAAAATCTGGATGTGCGTTTCTGCTGACTTATGTATAATATCGAGATCTTGATACGCATTATAATCAGTAGTAATAAACACCTGGAAAAACACCAACAGTGTAAGCTGCAACTCAACTATGAGTTTTACTTCATTATAAAACATGCAACAACAAAAAATGAGTTATATAATGAATCTGCCAGTGATGGCCATGCTTCTCCTTTTCTGTTTTTTTTTTCATTTTTTTTTAAAATAAATTTTTTGATTGACTTTCAAAAATAACATGTTTTAAGAGGCCTTTTGCACAATTTCCATTTTTAATATTAATATTCGTTTTCTTTTGAGTTTTGACCATACCGTATGACCATCTGTCTCAAATTGAATCACAATTTGATGCACCTGCAGTCACTTAGATATCTTATGACGTAAATTTCAAAACTATTTTTGGTTTTGAGATTTCAAAAAAACATAATTTAATGAATTTAAACATGATTTTTGTAAACAATCAGTTGTATAACAGAAACAAAACTATTTTAAGATGAACAAAGCCAACAATACGACGTTGTTGGAAGGAATGCTATAAAAAAACAACACCAGGATGAATACACTATACCTACTGTTTTCATGAATGAAATCTTTCAAAGAAAAGTTTGGGTCTTCGAAAATGAAATCAGGATAAATCCATTTTTATCTCTAAAACCATTAGATGATAGGAAATTTACCGGATCAGACTAGTTATTTTAATGAGCCTGAATTTTTTGTACTTAGGTAATTTGTTAACAAGCTTTTGCATTTCGAGATAACCACTAGGGGGTACCCGCCTTGAAGGTCATAGTTATGTTGTTAGATAAAATCTTATCTGAACATATGAAAACTAGCATTTGTAACATTTTCGGTTTGGAATTCAGAAGTAAAGCAAGCAACTATGGACGGCAGAAACATGGATGTCAGACGAATTCAAATAGGAAATTATAAATTAACAATAACGTGCGCATAAAATTAAATTAAGCTGAAAAATAATTAAAAGTAAAAAATATTTTGCCGGATATACTCATCATCTTTTATTACATATAAAATTTCAATGAAGAAATATTTTTTTATACTGAATCAATTTATCAATTTACGATATTTTAATTTTCACAAGTTTTAAGTGAGGAATTCATCTAAGAGGTGATGGATTTTTATTATAAATAGTAAGACAGACGAAAAAAGGTTTGAATGTTTTAAATATCGAGAAATCTCAATTCAAAATATTTCTAATTTCTCGTTAACAGAAAGAGCGGTCAACGCGCCATTGAAGAACTCCAGCGCACCCTGGTGGAGGTTGAGACCCGCTACAAATCCGAGATCTCTCGTCTCAAGAAAAAATACGAAACCGACATTCGTGAGCTTGAAGCTGCCCTCGACAACGCCAACAGAGCTAATGCTGAATACCTTAAACAGATCAAGTCTCTCCAAGCCAGAAACAAGGTGAATAAATAATTCGGATATATTATTTTTCTGGTCATGGACATAATCTTATGTACAAGAGACTAGACTTTTATCAAATTAATATGATTCGTGATTATACTACATTAGAAATAAGCAATAATTATTCAAAATGAATTTCATATCATTCTATTTTCATAGGAACTTGAAGCTGCCCTTGAAGACGCTAGCCGTCAACTTGATGACTGCCGCTCTCAACTTTCCATTTCTGAGAGGAAGCGCATTGCTTTGACAACCGAGCTCGAGGATGTTAGAACACTTCTTGAATCTGTGAGTACATTTTGCATTTTGACAGATTATAAAAGTTTTAATTATAAGACTTGTTTTATAGATATAGATATAGATATATATCAATGTATGTATATATACTAGTTGTTTATACACGTTTTAGCAGTATATCAATAAAATTATATAACGGACTAAGTACTAGTTTTTAATTAGGTAAATAACCTTATCCTCACCTTTTATTAATAGGCCGAGAGAGGCCGCAAGAACGCTGAGAATGAACTCCACGACGTAACTGTCCGCCTGTCCGAAGTCACCATTCAAGTCACTGCCCTCACAAACGACAAACGCCGTATGGAAGCTGATATTGGTGCCATGCAAGCCGACCTTGACGATGCCCTCAACCGCTGCAGCGCTGCTGAGGAACGTTCTGATAGACTGCAAGCTGAAGTGAACAGACTCGCCGAGGAACTTAGACAAGAACAAGAGAACTACAAGAACGCCGAATCCCTCCGCAAACAACTCGAGATCGAAATCAGAGAAATCACCATCAGACTCGAGGAGGCTGAGGCATTCGCCACCAGAGAAGGCAAGAGGCAGATCGCTAAACTTCAGGCCAGAGTAAGTGAAACAAAACATTTATTGCATATTTTCCAAAATAAGGTGTCAAAGTCACTTCAACTGCATTTTTGTTAAAAAATAAAGTTAAAGACTATATTCTTATTAAAGTGAAATTGTGTGAATAAGAAACATTATTGCATTAAAGTAGTTCTAGCTTGAAGCATACGATAATTGAAAAATTGACCTATTTTTCATCCTGGTTTTATTTATTGCCAATTGTTTCTCCTAGATCCGTGACTTGGAAGCTGAATATGAAGTTGAACAACGTCGTGCACGTGAAGCTCAAGCTGGTATGCGTAAGGTCGAACGCCAGTACAAGGAATTGTTGGCCCTTATGGAAGACGACAAACGCCGTCTTGCTGAGCTCACAAGCTTGAACGATTCTATGACTCTCAAAATCAAGACCTACAGAAGACAGATCGACGAGGCGGTACGTAACTACTTCATATCATACCATTTGTTAACAATATACATAACGATTTCATGTGTAGTTTTGAACAGCGTCTCATTTTTCAAACATGTTAACTCATCGTTACCATTTTTCACCATTTATTTTAATTTAAATAACATCCATTTATCCGTTCATTCACTATTTAGCTACATTGTTTCCCTTTGTTTACATTGTTTCCCTTTCTTTTACATTGTTTACACTTTTCCAATTCACAGGAAGAGGTAGCCAATATTGCCATGAACAAATACAGAAAAGCCACCTCATTAGTAGAAGAGGCTGAATCTCGTGCCGACAACGCCGAGAAGAACCTACAGGTTGTTCGCCGTTCAAGATCTATGTCCGTTTCCAGAGAAGTTAGAGTTATTAAAATGTAAATTTAGAGTAAGTTGACATATTTATTCATATTTTTTTTTATATATTTTTACAATATAAACGATAGTTATGATACGAGTAAACAGTGAACTTATCAGTCACTGTTTATTGCATAGTTGAATGTTTCGACTATTAGTTGAGTATTTTGTTTCTGAGACGATTTCTTCTGTGATTTTTCATTCGTATTGATTAAAAAATAGTGAGACAGTTTAAAAATGTAAGGTGAGCAATTAGTAAATGAAATGAAAATAATAGTAGATACAACTGTCCGATGCACATTTATGTAGATAATAATAGAAAAATGCACATGTAAAGATGGAATATTATTTTCTTTTCAGGTTTTATTAAGACATTTTTCCAATTTTAAAGATCTTTCGGATCAAAAACATTGCAAGTTGTGTAAATGTTTAATATGAATGTGACTTCATAAGATTCCCCCGTTATGAAATGGCTATTTACTACATTTGTTGAACAAAATGATATGTTGGTGCTATGCAAGATGCGTGCTCAAAATCTTTCTTTAATTCTACATCGGCGCAAGACTTGTTCCAAACTTTACTACCAACAAGGGAAATAAAGAACAACTTCTCTGGAAAGGACACCAAGATCATTTAATTAAGAGTACCAGCGACAGGACACGCGCCGATGACGTCATCTGTCATAATGCTTCATCGATGTTTCCATGCATGCGTTAAAGACAGGGAATATTATTGACGATCTTAACACTTGTGCATATTATATTGTTATGTAATTTAACTTAAATGCGAGAATATTCACCTCTGATGAATTTCTCAGATTAGGCCGTGTGCAATAAAGATATAGATAATTATTTGTTTGCGATTTGTGATACAATGGAAAGACTTGGATCGTATGTTGTATGTATTTATTTTTGTTATTATTTACATTATTATAGTTAAGATACTGCTTGAATGGTTAAGACATGAGATATAATATTGTACAGACCTGGGATGTTAAAGTCGTTGATACGTGTCTCCTTGTCTCAGTTTGGTTTCCTCTCTGCTTCCGGTTCATCACGTGTCGTGTCACGTGACGTGACGTATTGTTGCGACTTCATCATCATTTCACATTTTCTTTTTCTTATTTAAAAACAGATTAATATATAGAACTATTTTCGGTTTTGATGGGTAAATAAGGAAGTTTTCAAAATCAGTCTCTTGCAAATCAAAGAATTTATGTTTGTTTACATAAAATGTCATTGAATTTTTGCAGAGATAAAATAAATCGTACGTTGCTGCTTTGAAATGTGTTTATCTTTTCTTTTTGTTTCCTTTCTGTCATATTTTGCCAATGTAAATATCTGAACTTATCCCTAGAGCATTAATTGTATAGCGTAACTGTTAAGATGTTCTCTCAGATACAAGAACCAGAAGATAAGTGTACTGATACCATTGTCAGAAGAAATGATGATTATTATTTGTTAATGTGATATCGAAAATCATTCTAGGAATCTAAATGTCAAGACAAAGTAACATTTACCAGCCCCTGATATAAATATCTGAACAAAACATAACCTGGCGAGAATAAGCTGTTTAAGCTGAAACCAAGAGATAAACATTCAATACCACTTAAAATATTTCTTCTGAATGCGAATGCTCAAATCAGATTAATTTATATCTGCATGATTATTACTTTCTGTTTATTTAACAGACATGATTACCTCAATAAAAGAATGCCGGATAATCGGAATTTGAAATTTATCTTTAGCACAATCGTAAGAGAATAAATGTAAATTCTATTACTTGAAATATGAGCATATATATTATGAGCCTAGTCTTATGTATGATACGAATAGAAACCAATCATACTGTATCTATGTTTAAATCATATTATAAAATTGTGAATTATTTGGTTTTGCTGATTATCAGGACATCAAATAATGAAAATTGAATGGAAACACTTGGCTTCAATGAAGCAATGGAAATTACACAAATAAATGAAATTCAAAACTCATTGACTGATCCTGCTGTACTGGACATAGCAAGAAGATTATGCTCCAAAATCTGTTTTACAGATTTCAATAGTTAATATTAATTAAGCGGATTGCAATTTTGACACAGAACTGAAAGTACAAAGGAAAACGACTGAATATATATCACATATATATTTATCCGTGTAAAAGTGGCTGAATTGTAATGGTATAAACAAGAGCTTTAGGGAAAACTTCAGAATCAACAAATAATCGACACAAATATGGACATTTGTAGAAAAGCATTGGCAAGCAAAGACAAAGCTGAACATAATTCTAATACGTTTATTGAACACTGATATAACATAGATTAGTACCGTTTTTTATAGAACACAAGATCATTCGGTATAGTAGGATCAGTTAAAATGCTCCGTGGAACATCCCTTAGCGATCCAGTATAAGGTTTCACCTTCGCACTTAAAATGTCCTTCAATAACGTATTTCTGTATTCGAACCACTTCCGGTTTTGCTGGAATTTGTTGTATAATGCTTTATTGGAAGGGATAGAAATCTCTCGTTCTCTTTTTAAACGTCGCAGCTGTTCTGATTTCCCTTGTATGCTAAACTGAGCTGAGTTAATTACTAACAACTCCGTCTTACCTCGAGCAAGTATATAAGTATCTCGTAGGCTTTCACCTAAAATCACATAAAATAAAAATAAAGAGAGTCTATACCTTGTTCTTAAAGAAATTGGCTACTGACGATTTTTAAATGCATAAAAAATCTATAATGACTTAAATTTTATAATCTCTCTTAATAAATCTTTGTCTTACATCAGCTGTAATATGAATATCTTGTCGATTCTATATGATTTAGTTAATAGACACAAGACAATCTGATTAAAATCAGCTCCTAAATAACGCTACATATTAGGATCTGACGACCACCAATAGGTTGTAACCTTAGCCAATCATCGGCGAGCTTTCACAATTTTGAAAGCGACGCTTTTCTAATTTTAACAACTGGAAAATCAATATTGATTAGATAATTTTCACGATTTCTGGCGTTCTGCAAGTAAACTGGCAAAACAATCTTGCCCATTAAAAATTGAGTCTTTTATTTCAAGTTTAGTTTCAAATTACTACAAACATTTTTTTTTTTAACAAAAATCAACCATTTATTTTACTTCCATGAACAACGATATTTTGATACTTCTTCTAATGCCTATCTGTAAGCGGTTTGTTTTCATGGCGCTATAAATAGCCTTCACAGGAAATCCGAATCATAATGATGGCGAAACATATACGGTGGAAATCAGATCTACATGTAATAAATAAGTAGATCTGACTTTTGTCAAATTGAGACACAAGAGAGCTATAATTGTTCATACTCACCAGCTCCAAAATAGTTGCCCGGATGTAGTGATGTCACGGAGAGAAATCTCACTTCCTGTTGGTCTATTCTACGGTTTCTACAATAAGGTTTGTTCAGAAAATCCTTTCTTCGGTCTGTGATCGGCGGAAGTAAAATATTCGGTCTCTGGTAAGGTGACTGGTGTCTGACAAGAACAAGACGTCGAACAATCTCACAACGTCCACTTCTGATAAAATACACGCTGTCAGTTTGTCCATCTATATCACCTATAATTACCTGTAATCAAAGCTAACTCTGATGAAATATTTCTAGAGTTCGGTCATAAAGTAAACGATTTGAAAGTTTTTGAAGTGTTTTGTGTAACAAAATCCTTTATTGTGTCTTCATTTAACTTGTTTACAGCTTTGCTTCATTAAAGAACGTTCGCTGCAAACGACATCCTATCACAATGATTGGGCGTTTATAATGTTACCGAATTAAAAAAAAAGCTGTCAACAATAAGATGCAGATAGACGAAAAATGAAAACAAGGCTATAGCGACAATATGGTTTTGATAAGGACTTTTTGGCCTTGTAAGGTGTGAAATAGAAAAAAGTGAAATAAAATATAATACTATTTACGTTGTTATCCATATACTCTTTAAGTTGTGACGAATCAGCACAAAACTGAAGCTGTTTATCCGTCCATGAGGAGAAGTGCTCACATGATCGCAAGAAATTAAATCTCTTATTACAATCTCTTTCCCATCTTGATCTTAAAGCATGATTAAACTCGTCTTTGCTCAGACTGAGAAACTCTGAAGTCCCTGAATTAACATAAAACATCTTTTTTTGTATTATTGACGCTATAATTTAGTATGTCAATTTAGGCAGACAGAAAATAAGTTAAAAACTAGAAGTTTCCATAGGACGCGAATGCACCCCCAATTACACTGTTTTGTCAGTCTACTGGTGTATAGACAGAGACAGACGGACAAAGGAAATTCTACATGATTCCCCATACCCCCCCCCCCTTTAAAGGTTGACGCATAAAATGACATCAAAAATTTTCAAATGCTAACATCTTTGATTTTTCTCAATTTTATATCCTGAGTATGCTTAAAAACAAGAAAAAAGCAAATCCTACGGATGCTCTACTACACATGATAACCCACATTCCTGTAAAGCTTCATGGCTCTATGTCAAATGCTATTTATATTACGCACAAAATAAGTTTAAAATTGTTAATGTTTTACTAAATCAAGGGCAATAACTCTACAATATTTATTAAATCCAGTAGCAAACTATAGGTGCATAACTAATCATGCTGGTCAACATTCCTGTAAAGTTTCATGACTCCATGTCAAATGATTTTTGAGTTTGGCGCAACACTTGTTGAAAATTGCAAATATTTACTAAGTCAAGAGCAATAACTCTTTCAAAACGAAAAAAAAATCAACACCCGAAATCCCAGGTGCACAACTTCTTATGCTGTTTAACATTCCTGTAAGTTTGTTGGCTGTAGCTCGGACACATTTAGAACAAAATTTTGAAACGGTTATTACTAAGTTAAGGGCCATTCACATGCTGACCAACAATTCTGTAAAGTTTCATGACTCTATAGGAAACACTTATTAGGAGGCACCCGACACAAGTTAAAAATTGCAAATTTTTATCAAGTCTATGGCAATAACAATACAAATGCATGTATATAATAAATTCAAAAGCAATCCGCGGGCGTATAATTACACATGCTGACCAACACTTCTTTAAAGTGTCATAACTGTAGGTCAAATCCTTTTTTGAGCTATGTGCGACACAAGTTGAAAATTGAAAATATTTATTAAGTCAAGGGCAATAACTACAAATACAAATGCTGAATAAATACACAAGCAAACAACCGGGTGCATAACTACACATGCTGACAAACTTTCCTGTAAAGCTTTATGACTCTAGGCCAAATACTTTTTTGAGCTACGCGCGACGAACATTGAAAATTGCAAATTTTTACTAAGTCTAACAAAACTAAATTAATCCACAAGCGAAACCGCAGGTGCCTAACTTCAGACACTGGTGACTGTAAGGTTTGTTGACTCTAACTTCAGACGCTGGTGAAAGTCTTGTTTGTTGACTCTAACTCAAGCACCTTTAGAGCTACTTGTGACATAACATTTTGAAACTGACGCACGGACAAAGTAAATATAAATGCCTCTCCAGAATAGGGGTTGCGTACTTAGAAGTGCAGTTATCAAATCTTCAATCATGTTGTCGAAATATAATTCAAATATCACTTATTGACATCGAACATATTGTTGTATAACAATAGAGTATAGCTTTTACGATAACAATTAATACAGAAAGATAAGACGATATTCAAGATATACATTGTAAATCAGCTTCAATAAAATGAAAACCAATTACCTCGACAGATTGCCGTGAACTCCCGCCGTATGTTCCGGATAAGTGCAAGTTCTCCGAATGTCGCACCAGCTTGGACAGTTCTTATATGGTAGGATATTTCCTCCCCTGAAATGTCATTCATATAATTCCTTCGACTGACTTACTTATATGAAAATATTATATATAAATAATTTACTTACTAATATATTTTTTTAAATATCAGTGGAACTCTCAAAATCAAACATACTGTCAGACATAACAAATATCTAAGCCAATTCATTTCATTTCAAATTATTGATCATCAAGTAATCTGACATAAAGAGATGTACTAGAAGGTCTTAGCAAAATTCTCCCACGTTCAAATTATTAATGTCATTAATATATCATATAGTCATCATATTTATTGATGTTGTTATACATATTTTATTTGTCACTTTTAAAAAAATGTAATAGAAGAATGAAGCGTCTTGCCTGATTCCATGAAATCCGTTCGTTTAAGATCAACCTCACCGGAAATGACGAAATACATTCTGGTTCCCGGATCATCTTGCTTAACAATAACTCGTCCTTCTTTAAAAGTATCGTACCATACCATGTACGCTAGAGCCTGTTTAACAGCCTTGGAATACTTCATGAACATTGGTAGGCGAAGTAAAACTTCCTAATAATTAAAATGCTGGAGTTAATTTGAAAGAAGTAAAACATGCAGAACGTGCCAATAATAATAATTAAAATTTCTATTCTTTACTTAATAAAACTCATAATTACGTCATATCGCATGAAAGCCAAATTTCAAACCTTCTTAGCATGTTATTTGAAAATGGACACGTTTTATTAACTTTTCTCTAAGTTTTAAGGACCGTTTTTATTAAACTTTCTCTAAGTTTTAAAGAAAATGTAAACATAATGTAATATTTTAATATCACAGTTACTTACCTTAAATGATCATATAACTCTTACAAAATATTTCATACAAAATTGTGGTACATCTACCTACCTCTCTTGAAGTCATTGAAATAATAAATCTGAAAATACTACTGGTAGAGGACATTAAAAATTTACAATATAAAGTACTGTAATATATGCATGCAATTTAAAGCAACCACATTCCCGTTATACTTTTATCTATTTTTGAATAGCGGGTAATAAACAAGAAAACAAATTTGTTGAATATCCAAACTATGTTATCATATTCTTACACTATAGCGGAAATATTATTTCGAACAGAAATATTTTAAGGTTTTTTTCTTACGGAAAAGTTTATGCATGTGTTATCATTATATAAGTCTACGGGTATACTAAACATAAATAAAGCCTTAAAGTTTAGCTTTTTTTTTAAAAAGCTTTTTATGGGGGCCCCAAAAATTTTTCATTGGTCGTACGGGGTAAAAACAGTGATTTTTTTTCCCAATTTTTTTAAAAAAAACTGGGGGGGAAAAACAAATTCCCAAAAACGGAAAGGAATTTTTCCCCCACATTTTATAAAAAATTTTTAATTTTAATTTTTCAAATTCAATTTAAAATGATGGGGCATAGCAGGGCTTGGACACCTTTCTTCTTCTAGCTGAATAATAAAGTTTAGATTATTTTAATAATGGTTCGGTAAGAAATGAAGGGGATTTACAGGGAAAAAAAAATATTTTGAACTGGGGAAACAGCCTTTATTTGGCTGTAAAATACAGGAAAAATATCACTGTAAGATATTTTGCTTTATTTACGTTTTGTCAATTAAGATATTGTGATTAAAATAGAATTTTATACAGGAGTGAAAAAAAAAAGTTTGTTTTCATTTTGCTACATTTATCACAAAATATTTTACATTCTGCGCTATTCTTTTTTTTCCAGGTGATAAGCATATCACATGATCTAAATCAATAACGGCAGAATTTTTAAACACATGTATGCCCTTACTACAGAAAGTAAAATATGCATTTCTGAGGCATAAAGCCCTAAAAACACAAAACCCTGCAGAAAATCTTCATGGTAGAAAAAGAAAATGCTATAGTTTTATGACTTCACAAAATAAAAACTCTGTAATGTTCTAGATAGATGTTGGCTTTTTAATTTTTAAACTATGCACATTTCGAGGTATTTCTCTTCAACAAATAGAACATTTTATTACGGTAAATACGTACCTTACCTATTGTTAATTACTGTCAATATAAGAATAAAGAAGGAGCCTTACCATAAGAATTTTAGCGTCTTCCTCTGTCCTATCTCTAGGATTTTTCTTTAGAGCATTTTTAGCCCTGGAGGTGAGACCACTGTAAGATATTGCAGACTTGAACTGTGTTGCATCAAACGATAATTCTAAACCGCCGTCATAACGCTGAAATAGTTACAATAATAAATATATATGTATATTTGTACCCAAATAAATAACAATTCTAACATTTCACGTGATTTTGTCACTATAGACAAAGAAGAAAAAAAACACTGTTAAACTGCCAATACGCACTGGTTATGGACTACTTGTATATACGGCTGTTATGTTTGCACCCTCGATTATATGGTTTACAAAGCCTTTTAAAGCAACAACATACACTTTCACTGGTCGACTTTCACTGGTCGACTTAGTTTTATTCTAAAAAAGAAAATCTTTTTTTTAGAAATACATGTAATGTTCCAATAACCAACTACCTTCTGGTTAGTAGTTGGGGATTCATACCATATTATAGGAAATAAATATCTTGTTATATAACCGTTAAATTTGTTTCAGAAAAATACTTTGTTTCCAATGGAATATAATTATGCAATATCCAAATTACCAAATACCTTCTGGTAGGTAGTTGTACATGTACCCGTATTCCCGCAAATAACCACCTGAGTCCTCTGGTCGATTAACGGTGAAGGGGTTGTAAACATATTATAGAAAACCCGTATTTTGTTATATAACCATAAAATTTGTTTCAGAAAAATACTTTCTGTTCCCATAGGAATATACATTGTATGCAATATACGAATTACCGACTACCTTCCAGTAGGTAGTTGGGTATTCGCGCGAATAACCAACTGAGTCCCCTGGTCGACGTAGGGAGACAGGAAGTTTTAATATTTAAGATCACATTTATCTTGCAATATATCCGTTATATTCATTCCGGTAAAATTCTTTCTGTTTCAGGGTAAAACATGCTAAGTTCGAATTACCAACTACATTCTGGTAGGTAGTTCACGCGAATAACCAACTGATACCAAACTTTATTTTGTGTTTAAAATGTATGATGTGTTCGAACATTTCATGCTGGTAATAATGGATCGAATTACCAACTACCAGCTGGACATAGTTATGATTCTTGTGCACAGCGCTTCCTCTTATTGTGCTTGACCATTGTATGAAGATGTATTGAATTCCAACCAGTAGTTTTCAAGTTATGCTCTGGACAAGGAAAAGTAACAAAGGGCAATAACTCTGTAATTAGTCTAGATGGATTTATGGTTCTTGTGCACTGCACTTCCTCTCAATGTGCTTGATCATTGTATGAAGTTGAATTGAATTCCAACCATGACTCCTTTATACCCCACCCCAGAACGAACTATAAAAAGTTTTTGAGACATAAAATTGATAGCATATCTGAGGCAAAATTGGCCTCTAAAAGAAACCTTAGTTGCTTTAACAGCATAATGTGTACATGATAAGGTTGTTTGTAAGACACAATTACTTGAACGCACGTTTCGATATATTTTCTTAACAGTCATGAATTTACACTGAAAACTAAAATCTTACCTTAAAACTTTTAGATTTTTCCTCTTCTTGTATTCGAATCCTTGAAACTTTAAGAAGAACGCGCACGTGTATCAGCAGACGAACATAGCGTCTAAATTTACTTAATATTTCTGCACGTTTTTCTTCTGTTGTCTGCGAAAAAGATAAACAAAAGTAATCCAAATAGCTTATCATGCAAATTAAGTATGCTATAAAAAGAAATACGTACTAAGCAATGTGAAATGTTATTTGAGAGAAATTGTGTAGAGGATCAATTGCTTGAAGAAAACAGTTCCTTTTTTGCTTTCAATCTTTAACTTAAAGCTATATAGTTAGATAGACGGTGCTTCAAAATAACTGTCAATCAGCATTATAACTTGGTAGATTGAAGCATGGTTATTAATTAAGCATCAGTAAGACTTTTAAAGTGAATTGGTCTATTATATAATGGAAAGTCTGCTATATTACACATTGTAACTTACTATGTTGATAGTACATGTATTTAGTACCTGGCATAACAAAAAACCACGAAATAATTACATTTGGATGTTGTTGGAAGTGTGAGATAAATAATCCGATTTATTTAAATAACACATTTATATAGCAAATAATAAAATGCTTTAGAACAAGATACTATTATTCATCAATTTATTGTTCAAACTATATAACTTAGAAATGCATAAAAGATATTGTTCAAACAATATAACTTAGAAATGCATAAAATCTTTTCAATCAATATCTTATAAGAATATTTAAATCATCTTTTCTTTGTGTGTGTGTGTGTTTTTTTTTCAATATTTAAAATATTTGAGGAAAATGTGAACATTGTTCGCTACTATTTCTTGATATATCAAAATGTTATTTAATTTTACATTTTAAAATGAAATACATCCAATCTATATACCTCTACAATTATACCAAACCTCAATACGTGACGTTAGTCTTTGCCATAATAATGTTGTACATATCTATTGCCCTCAAGTAAAACTACGATTCTAAAGCCGTTTGGACGTCGTGTATAAGTAATTTAATAAATAAAATGAGTTTTCATTGTTAAAGTTTATCGTTTTAGTCTAGCTTACATTTTTCATCATATTTTCCCAAAGTTTTCCTTTACTTTTAAGAAAAAACTTATGTTGAGGGAATTTTTTGTCAATAAATTTCCCATTTTTATTTTTTTTACAAGTGCTTTTTTTTCCAAAAAGGGAAATTTTTTCCATTTTTTGGGGAAATAATTTTAAAAAATTTAAAAAAATGAATTTTTTTGCCTGGTAATGAAAAAAATAAAACCCGAGGGTTTGAAAAAAAAATTTAAAAATTTTTTTTTAAAAACCTAAAAAAAAGGGGGATTTAAATGTTTTTTAAAAGCCGATTGAAATTTTTATTTTAAAATAAATGTTTTGTTTTTTCTCTATAAGTTCTTAAAAGGGGGGAAAATGCCCCGTTTTTCTTTTTTCTTTGGGTTTGTTTGTAAAAAATTTAAATATCGGGATGACATCAAATGTGAAAACCCCTATAGGTTTTCCCTCTATTTGAGCATTTTTTTGGGTTTTTTTTCCCTTAAAAAAACCCGTCACTTAATGAATTTTGGGTCATCCAAAATTTGTTACTTACCAAAGTTACAATGTCATGTTTTGATGGTACATGTGTCCGCTGCTTTCTTGTCAATCTTCTCGTCAACAAATCTGTTGGACCTAAATATATGAAATGATTCAGGATCTATTCATACAAATGAAGCAAATTAGTTAAAACATTTTCGGATTACAAATGTATTTAATGATATGTCTATACTGGAACTTTATACTATACTGAAGTAATAGATCTTATTACAACAACAACATTACAGGCGAAGAACACAAGCCCTTGGAGAATTTTGTTAAAATATAATTGAACTAAACAAGCAAAGACAAATTAAAATACGCTTTATACATTCTTACCTTTAGACGGTTTGAACGTTTTTGTGAAATACCTCTGAGTCGCAAGAAAACTCGAAGATTTCTTGGCAAGCGCTTCTATTTCCTCATTTTCATCCGGTGCTGGTATTAACAAAAAAGATATTGTTTTAAAAATCATAAAACATGTTTTTTTTAAATAAAATTGTATTATTATTTGATTCACTAGTTTATTGGGTTCGTTTGATCATTTAATAGTCAGTGTTGATATCATTTTTGTTTAACAAGAGCCACTGCAAGAGGGGACCACGCTCCACTTTTTCCCGTTTCGAAACATAATCATGCAAGAGAAAGAACATTGTGGTTAAGGTTTTTTTTTATTTGTTTTTGTTTTTTTTTATAAAAAAACATCATTTCTATTGTACAAAATTTAATCAAACTTTTATATTTGACCTTGATTGTCATTTGTCAATATTGTGTTGCTTTTTCTTGCAAGTATGAATCAACCCCGTAAAGAAGCAAGTTTTCAAAAGTTACGTAAAATTTTCATTCAGGGCTGGTATTAAGAAAAAGGATATTGTTTTAAAGACCATTCAGTAGTTTTGGTAGAGACACCAGTCCATTGTGTTCATTCATAGTTTCATAGTTTTCGGATGACAACGGTTTCGGCAACGGTACCAACATTGGCAACGACACCATGACTGTAGCAATAGCTCGGAAAAAAATCAAGCTAAAATATGTTTGAAAGGTGTTGTGGTCACTTACTTAATGCTTCAGTTTGATTTAAATATCAAATGTTTTACTTGTAATTTTAAAGCAGTATACAGGAGTATGGACTATAAAATACATATAACATTATTCCGTATCAATGTTAATATTCATGAAACGCTATTATGCTGAAGCTTTGGTAAGTAACAGAAGAGATGCACACGCGCAAGTAATCACTGTAGTGATGACAGCAATCTTAAATTTACTGATTACTACAGGTAGGTGACATTCAGAAAATAAAGACAATTCCATCGCTAAAGACTTAATGTTCTTTCGTAATGAATACGAAATCCCTATTTATTTAAAACTTGAGATATTTTGAGGAAGAGACAAAAATTTTCACAGTCTTTTCAGAAGCTGTCACTTTTAACCCACTCAAAATATTTTATAAGTACAAAATTATCGTATAATAACTTCAGTCAATGGACAATAAGTCTATGACAATGGAATTGAGCGTATTTGCGAATATATAAATATACCATGGAACTGTAGTTATAGATAAATTTGAAATTTCTGCTATCACTACAACAGCGCCATTATACATTGTATACGGTGTGAGTTAGTATCCTAATTAAAACGAGGATAGTAAATTATTTTTATCGTCTGACTTATTATGGTAACATTATAATGCAATATCAAATTATTTCCTTGTTGAAAGCTTTTTAATGTACGTTTTGAAACAGTTCTACTAAATAACAACAAAATAATTAATAAAGATATTCTATAATGATCTAAAATAACCCGTCTCTTTGACAGAAAAACAAAATTTTAAATACATGTAGTAACAAAATCTTGGCCAGTGAACAAGTAATGCAAGCCGACATGTGGCCATTACAGTCCACAAAATATATGTCAACATGTGCAAAGTTAGCCATTACACTAGTAGTACTATTGTTGAACTTAAAAAAATCTGTTTACTGTGGCTGAGTGGGTTAAGATCACTTTCTTCAAATACATATACATGCCCATCACCACTGTTGGTTCGAATCTCGCTTTTGGGACTTTTCATTCATATATGTAAGGAAGCTATCTAGAAAAATTAAAAAAGGTCGTTGATTCTACTAAAGTGCCCGCTCGTGTCTGAAAAAAGACAAAAGAGGAACAATGATTAAACAAACCTTCTTCTGTATCTGCTAGGGCTCCGAGTCGATTAGTGGCGGTTTTTTCTCTTTTCAGAGAAGACTTTTTAGCACGACTTGCACGTCTTTTCTTCGCAAACGGCAGAAAACCAGGCAAAATGCCAGGTAAAATAGTTGTGCGTCTTTTGCTTCGACTTTGAAGAAATGCATTTAGTGTCGTCTGCGTCTCACTGGGTTTAACTGTGTCAGTACCAAATCTGTGATGAATAAATACAACATAAGCTCGGGGGAAAAACGTATAGCATCTTTTCCGTGACTATCTAAGATCACATAAGATACAACCAGCATTCTAAAGGAACCGCTTATATAACATAATACAAGTGTATGAGATAAAATTCATCGGTGTGTTAGAATAAATTTCACTCCAAGAATTACTTCTGCTTAATGTCTCGTAAATTATTTATCGACGCAAGTATAAACTAAAATTAATAAAATTCAAAAGATAAGAGGAATAATAATCAAATCATTAAAATCCATAATTTAGTAACTTAAGTGAAATCACCAAAATATTCAGAATTATACATGTGTATTTAAGTGTTGTTAGAATTATGATAAGACATTTTAAACTGAGTGACTTCCCGATTTGCATCAGAGTAACTTTAGTTAAAACAATATTATCGTTTTCAATATTTAGCATACTATATTTCAATTCACATAAGATATCAAAATCGGCTAAATATTATGCACATTAAAAATTTTGTGCAAAATATACATGTATTTTATAATATTAATGATTTAAACTAAATATTGTATACAGACTAGTTAAAATAAATGATATGCCGGTATTTCATTTAATACTTACAAATAATATTCTCATATAACTTACGTGTCTTTACTGTCAGTGGGTTCTGTCAACAGTAACGGGGTTTTATCAAATGGCGTTCTGCTTTCTGAAATAACATTTGAACCATTGATAGCAATGATGTAATGCCGGAACAACTTCAACAACCTTGTGATTCGTCTTTCTTTACTTTAACATCATATACTAGTACTATTTTCAAGAAAAAAGTTAATGCAGGCGTTACACTGTCCCGAAATTGGCACCAGATGGACACACGAATTAGGAAATGTTCAAATTCGGATCTGATCGTAATAACACCGGGCCATTCGTGAGGCCATCTTGTGCCATCGTATGACCCCCGGCTAAATGTTCAGGCTCCGGCAGAAATTTCGTGAAGTGATTGCGATGTCTGCCTCTCTTACTGGAGATAAGGGATTCTAGCTCTATATTAGTCATGACAAGTACATGAAGAGACCTTTGAGACGATGAGTACAACCATACACACCAAACATATGTAATAATAAAAAATATTGCTTGAAGTAAATAAAATGCAAAGTGATTTAGTATGAACTTTTTAATATGTTGTATTACAGACATCTCATTATAAATCAATTCACTTAAAAATACAAAATGATGTTGCAGTATTTGTATGTTAATGTTGTTTTGTTTAATGGAATTGCAATAACTACTTTGTATATGACATGCATTTGTAATAATATAAAATAAATAATAAAAATATCCACCAAAAGAAAAAAAAAGAAGAGAAAATAATTCTCTTCATGGTTAATTTCATAGACATCGAATGTTTACCTGTTATTTTAGATTCATCCTTTATGTTTTCAAGTCTCGAACTTAAGTTACTGCTGTTACTATCATGGTGATCCTCGTGAGTGACCGCTGACACCCCAACTATACCGCTGTTTTCCAAATCATGTGCCAATTGCTGTAAATACAAATATGTGAAATGTGCTTCACATCTATCTATCTCTGGATACTGCCAACCCCTCTTACGAGTGTTAAAGGCAGGAATTTAGTGCACGTCGGATTGTTAGTAAAAGGTGAAAAGAAAAGCTAAAAAAGAAAAAAGTCCAAGCATTGACATGCTTGGAAGGTGAGACTGAAAATGTATTCTAGTCATGGTTAAAATGTTAATAGTGAAACAAGATGATAAGAGATAAAATAGTTTAAAAACACTGGGAGTAAGACTAGTACTGCAAACCCACCACTGCCTGTTTGAACTGACTCAAGTTGGACAGGGTGGCAATGTTACTAGGAAGTTTATTCCATAGTATAATGCTATGAGGGAAGAAAGAGTACTTATGGTAGTCGGAAGATACCTGTATTTGGCGTAGGGATAAGGGGTGCATATGTCTGGTTAATCTATGTGGGGTTTGAACGTATGTTGGGAGATTAATTGCAACTAGGTTATGGTATATCTTATAAAACATTATCAGTCTATAGTCCAATCTGCGATGTTCAAGGGATCGCCAGCTCAGTTCTTCCTGCATGGCTGTGACACTAGAGTTAGGGGAGTAATCCCTTTTAACCCATCTTATTGCACGTCTCTGGATCATCTCAACTTTGTCAATATTGGTTTTAGTGTAAGGAGACCAAATAGTTGAGGCATATTCAACCTGTGGCCGGACCAGGGACTTGTATGCTAGTTCTTTCACTTTCTCATTTTTAGTAATAACATTCCTTTTGATAAAGCCAAGGGATCTGTTTGCATTGGAAGTTATTCGAGATATATGTGTATTAAATTTAAGGTCAGCAGACAGATCTAGTCCGAGATATTTAGCATTTGAGACCGACTCTAGGACTTGGCCATGGAGCATATATTTTGTGTTTAATTATGGTTTTGTTTTGTGATATGCATGACTGGCATTTTGAAGGGTTAAACTCCATGTCCCACTGCTTCTCCCACAGAACCATATTGTCAAGATCATGTTGGAGATTTGGGGGGTCTGAGGAGGAATTGATGGATAAGTATACAGCAGTGTCGTCTTCAAATAATCTGACTTGGGATTTAAGGACAGAAGATGGTAGGTTGTTGTTATATAGAAGGAAACAAAGGGGGCCTAGGACAGAGCCTTGGGGCACTCCAGAGGTAACTGGAACTTCAGATGAGCAGTCATTATCCACAACTACTGTCTGTCTACGGCCAATAAGGAAGGACTGTATCCAGTTTAGAATTTGAGGACAAACACCATGTTCTTGAAGGGTATCTAAGAGTTTAAGATGGTTTACTTTATCGAAAGCTTTGGAGAAGTCAAGAAGTATGAGATCTGTTTGTTTGCCATTTGAAAGATTGTTCACAAGGTAATCAGTAAGTTCAATGAGTTGTGTCTCACATGATCGTCTTTCTCTGAATCCATGCTGAAGATCAAAGAGTATGTTGTGGGTGGTAAAGTGAGAGGATAGTTGAGAGGCAACTATGTGTTCAAGTGTTTTACAGAGGATGCATGTAAGGGAAATTGGGCGATAGTTTGCTGGATCACTTGTATCACCTTTTTTGTAGACAGGGCATACGTTTGCACGGGTCCAGTCATTGGGAATATTACCGGTGGTCAGGGATTTTTGGAAAAGAACTGCAACGATGTCAACAATCTCTTCTCTCAGCTCCTTCAGGACAATTGGTCTAATGTTGTCAGGGCCGGCAGCTTTGTTGGCATTGAGGTTGGCGAGGAGCTTAAGTACACCTGTCCTACTGATGGTGATGTCATACAATGTATAAGAAAAACGCTCAATATGTTGGTAACAACGTGACCGTTTTTTGCCTTTTTGATGGAGGGGGGAGGGGGAATGGGTTGAACATTTGTTAGTTTGTTTGAAATGCGTTTTCCAATTTCTTTATAATTATGCTCAATTTCATTATTTCTTTCAGTTCATTTAACCTGACAGCATGAAGGAAAAATGATTTCATACAGAATATAGACATACAATATGGTGTATGTTCAGATGGAATTTACTGCCATAACTTTATTGTTAAATTTTTTATGGATAAAGTGTAGAGCCCGTTCATTCTAGCGTTGAACCTTCCAAAAGAGACCGCGTGATCTTATTTATCCAAAACGAACGCAGTTTCACTTTTCATAAATTAAACGCACTGATTTTCTATTTTCTATTAAGTTCACTCACTAAAATGGGGAGTTCTGCACTTTATCCGATAAAAAATAGTAAGAAAATAGAATGTGAACCGTGTAATGATTTTATTATTTTTTTCTTCATTCCCACGCATATCATGAAATGTCACGTGGTATATGCAACGAGTCATTTTACCAGTACCAACTTATCACGATATTCCAAAAAAGACACATGTGTAATGCACATACAGCGGTCACAGCTGAAGCATTCAAATCAATTGTCACTATTTTCAATGTCAATAAATTTCACTTTTGTAAATATTTATAATTAGCGATAACACATAATTCTCAGTTAAGTGAATTGTTGTGGCATACACAAAAAGAAAAAGAATACCTTTTCGTCTGTATGTCTTGACAGCTTCCGTTCTCTACCGTCTATTTTAACTATATCTTTTGGAATGTATTCAATTTTCTTAAAAGTATTGACAAATTCTCTTTGCAATTTAGGGATGCCGAAGTCTTCTTGTTGTTTGATGTTAGAAATCCAACCTGTCAACCTCTCGTTTGCTTTCTGCTTTGCCCTGTCAAAATCTTTTTTGGACAGAGACATCTAAATAAGGTTTACCGCATTATTGTAGTAAAGTGAAAGTGAAAGTAAAAGCGATGCCATGACATTGACCCTTGAACTCTTTCTATAATTAACGTTCACGCATGCGCACAATGACTAATTGAATTACGTTTCCGCTTACTCTTCTCGTGTTTGATAGAGGTCAATTTATTGAAAAGGTAAATTATTAAGTACACAGTGTGTGTAAAAAGCTTGTATTTCAATAGAAAATATGTACGTAAATAAAAATAAACCATAAGGATTATTATTTATTATGTGACACCAATAACTTGACAATGAAACACTGTTGTCATGCATTTTCGCGAGCTAATTAGGGCCCCATTTTGACCCAACCCCCGATTTGACTCTGTCAACTATCTATAAAAACGTGGCAATCTCCTGGATAAGAGCCCAATGTATATTAAAAAAACGTCAACGTTTGGATCCATCTCTAAGCAGCTCCACTGAGGTAAAATTTCCGAAAACATGAAAGTAAAATTCTTGCATAATGATAATGATTTGGACTCGATCTCCTCTTACCAGTCCCGGCCCTAACTTTTTCTCCACGACAGTTGACCCCATATTTCAAATTAGGGTAAGTGTCAGGAGAGTAACTGTTTTGGGGAAGCTTGTCCGGGTGAGGTACTGCATCATTGCATGGGTAGGTGGTAGAGGTGTAACGATTCATCGATGCATCGCGATCTGTCTTGTCCCCGATGTATGCATCGTAATGAAATTACAAATTCCAATATATTGCGATGCAATACATATTTCACCTCCCAATGTATCGATACAGCGGGAAGGTATCGCAATACACTAACAATATCTTCCAGGAATATAAGGACAAACGTATTTTTTGAAAGACTGAAGAAAGAAAAATAGCTCGGATAAAAACAATAAACAAGCGCGACTATTATCATACCATCGTTGTCATCTCGTTTCCCCATGTCCGCAATCATTTAATGGTTACTAACCAAGTTTTATCAATTCCATGTAAATGGGCTGGTGTTCTTTGAACTTGTTTATAATAAAAACATAATTAGAGATCTGTGCGATTTCAAGAAAAAAAAACCTACAAACATGAATTTGTAATTTTATTTTGTAGCACTAAAATAGTGATGATGACAACATCCCCATGTGATATTCGTCACGTATTTATACTTTCATTTCCGTTGACATCATTTTCCCGTAAAAAAACAACAAAGCAAACAAACAAACAGAAAACATGAAGACTGCAAAATATGTAGACGGGGAAATTACAGTCAATCCTCCTTGGTCATATAAGTCACGAGTTTTGGGAAATTGTAGTTTTTGGGGAACCATCAGACAGTGTTGTATAATGTGGAAGACCGGACGCGGAGTCTTTGCAAAATTTGCAAACTCAAAATAAAATACTCTGGGGTTGAGCACAAATCTTTCGAGAAAACTGAGACTGAAACTCATGTTTCACAGTTGTTGACCTAAATGTAGATCACTTGTTACTATTTTTTTTCACAAGAGAAATCTTTAGTGGTGTATTGTAAGACTGAAATTGTTAAACTGCCATATTTACAGTGGTGGACTTTAGTGTTAGAATAGCAAGTAGATATCAATTTGCTGTTATGGTTTAATTAAAAATACCTTTAATCCTCAAGTAATCAGAAAAGTAAATTGTTAAAAGATCAAAATCGGAAACCAAGTTATAACAACAAGTTAAAGAGTTTATTTTTTTGTTATTGTAATTAAAGTTTTATATTATATTCGTAATTATGCTGTAAACAAATGGCCAATTTTTTATATACTAAGTCTTAAGTCAGTATTGTGATACGTATCGCATCGCAACAAAAGAATCGCAATATGCATCGCATTTCTTCAAAGTATGCAATACATATCGTGAATCGAATCGTTTTGAAAAACAAATATCGTGATATGTATCGTGGCAGAAAAAAATGGCAATGCACAGCCCTAGTAGGTGGATACTCGTGTCATTATACAGTTATATAGATCACGAGTGAGATCACGAGTGGAAAAGTCTAAATTATATTCAAATATTATTAAGGAGGTATACTTGGAGTTAAATGGAAAATCACCTTTAAAATGGTTTAGGTCAGTCTTACTAATTGTACTAATCATTGAGATAGTGTGCTATTTTGTGTTTGGGCAATAGCTTGTATCTACAAATCAAAGAGCGATTCTGAATCAGAACAAAAATATCTTAGAATCTAGCTTTGGCACACCAAAAGTTATGTTTAAGTGAAAAGCGTTGCAGTGCTTTTTTTATTTGTACCATTTTGCAGAGTGCATAGGAATCATCTGAAATCTTACATAAAAATTATTAGTCCAGACATACATTAAATGTAAATCAGGTACAATGTATGCAAGTCTTGATAAAATATTCCCTTTTCCTTCATGTCAAAAAACTTCAGTCTAGTCCCTTTAATGATAAAATTTGTTATATAAACTATTTTTTAAAATTAAAATCACAGTATCATAAACCATCAAGTAAATTAGTATTGTACACTCTGAAACACATTTTTGTTTAACTAGTGTAAGAAGTGATCTTGGATTCCATTTTGCTCAGTCTTTCAACTTTTAGCAATAATAGTGGGGACATGGGTTATATAACAACTGTGTCCTGCCTTGATTAACACACAATAGAATGCCAGGAACCTTTCTCGTATTACATGGGTAAATGAGGGACCGAGAGTCTTGTTTGTTTCACAGGACCATTAATTTGTGTAACTAACTAAAATAAATGCAAATGTTTCTTTTATAAATTGTATTGAATAAAGAAATCACATTTTTGCAGTTTACATACATATAAAATTAATAAGGTTGGGAAATAATAAGAAGATGGAAAAATTTTGGAGAAAGAAAAACATCAACTCGCCATGTTCAGATTTTTGGGTTGTTTATGATGTGAAACCTTCACATGTGTTTGTTAAAGTTTGACATCATGAACCGATGGCATCAAGGTGTCAATTAATAAAACACTTGCTTTAACAATTGACATACAAAATAAGATGGATCTACAGCATGAACAATAAATTTTTAATCTAACCCCCTACCCCCACCCCTTCAGCCCCCCCCCCCAAAAAAAAAAAGAAAAGAAAGAACTAGTCTGTAAACCAAAATACATTATATATGGATAATGAATAGGCATTGACAGACCATAATCACCGTTGTTTATATTTTATTTGAAATCAAATAATATACTGTTCAAGATTATTTAATGATGTTAATCTACTATTATGTGCAATTGAACAAATATATGATAAACTATTGATTAAAGGTTAAAAGGCAAGATACATTTATTAGACATTTTTTAGCTCGACTATTCGATAAGAATAAGTAGAGCTATTGCAGTCACCAGAGTGTCGGCGTCTGTGTCGGCGTAACCACTTATGTTAAAGTTTTTGTAATAGTTCAAATATTTTCAAAGTCCATTGACATATGGCTTTGAAACTTTGCACACTTGTTTACCATCATGACCCCAACCTGTAAACAGGAGGAGGTAACTCTATCAAGCATTTTGACAGAATTATGCCCCTTTTTCGACTTAGAATTTATGTTAAAGTTTTTGTAATAGTTCAAATATTTTCAAAGTCCATTGACATATGGCTTTGAAACTTTGCACACTTGTTTACCATCATGACCCCAACCTGTAAACAGGAGGAGGTAACTATATCAAGCATTTTGACAGAATTATGCCCCTTTTTCGACTTAGAATTTATGTTAAAGTTTTTGTAATACCTCAAATATTTTCAAAGTTCATTGACATATGGATTTGAAACTTTGCACACTTGTTCACCATCATTACCCCAACCTGTAAACAGGAGGAGGTAACTGTATCAAGCATTTTTTTTTTACTTTCAAGCACTATGAATAGTCGAGCATTGCTGTCCTACCGACAGCTCTTGTTGTTATTTGTGTTTTGCTGTGCCAGGGTTTATGTAGGATATTGGTCATTTGTTACACTTGCCCAACATAAACTATAACCAGGATATAGGTCTATCTGGGGTTTCCGTGGCCAAGTGATTAAGGCAGTCTACAATTTAGCATTAGCCTGTTAGCCCATCCATGGCTAGTACTAAGTATGTGGTTCAAGCTTATGAAAAATTAACAGTCAAACACCTTAGTGTCTGCAGAATTTTAAATATTATACAGTATTATCTTTAGATTAAGAGAATAGAATTACAAAATAGCTGTTAAAGTCATTATTCTACATTTTAAAGTTAAATATTTTTGGGCTTGTAAAAGCCTAATTTGGCTATATTGCCATCCACTAGCCCAAATGGCTTGTATTTATTTCGTCCTAAATTCTTTGGTCTCATGCTATGAGTTTGAATACAAACAGAGACTTCGGATTCATTGCCTGAAACAATACCGAAAAAGGCACCTGAAGTCTTTCTTCACCAATAAAGCTGACTGAAATAATCTTTTCACTGATAAAATTGAGAACTAGAAGATGTTGTTTTTTTGTGTTTTGATTTTTCATTCATCAATTTGGGAATGATCAATGAATGATATAGCAGCCTTTATATGTAAATCTTTGAATTTAACTACACACAAAACTCACAATATGTAATATTTTTTTCTCTTTTTCAGACATATTTGTAGATAGAATTTACATACTGAGACAATGAATTTTGATACAAAGCCCCCTGGTGGTGCTGGTCAGGACAAAATGGATCCTAAAGTTCTAGAATTCATTCAGCAGCAGCAAGCACAGCAACAATTATTACAACAAATAGAGAAAGTTTCGGAGACATGCTGGGATCTATGTGACATGACAATGAGAGACAAGCTTGATGGGAAACAAGAAACTTGTCTCAATAATTGTACTCAGCGCTATTTTGATGTTGCAAACTTTATTGCAGAAAGATTTATGCAAAAAGTACAGCAAGCAGGAGGGTCAATGAGATAGTACTGAAAAAAACAAAACATTTTATACATCAAAGTTATTCTGGCTTCAGGAATGTAATTAAAAAAAAACTACCAGTAAACATGCAAGTACATTAGATTTGTAATTTTAAGGATGTTGAAAATTCTTTCGCGTGAAAAATCCAGCTTTTGATGTGAGGATATTACAGTGTACTTGATGTTGAAAGTGTGATTCATTAAAGAACTATGGAGGGATAATATCTTGTTTGAAACATGCTCTAATAAAGTAGTCATAATTATATATTGTCATTAAAACATTTGAAAATAGTTAAAACATATAAAATTATAAGACTTTTTATACAAATCTCGAAAAAACAGTCCTTGTGAATTTTGATTTGATAATGATCAGAATTACACAGAGTTTCTGATGTGTGTAAATAGATATCTATATATAATGCATGATATCATTTCTTTCATATTTTTTTCAATGAAAATTATTAATATCTGTTACAGTATAAACACTGCAATCATAGATATATACACAATTTTATAACCAGATTAGTATAGTATGATAGAATCCTGGTAAATGATTTACAACAGTCGACATACACATGGTCTTAAGTATATACTAACTGCATCTTGTTACATAAAAAATATTATGTCATTAAGTTTTTAAGTAGGATGAAAATAAACATGTAAAATAATGAATAGTTATTTTGCTTCCAATGTATGTTTTTATGTCCCCAGGCATATAGTAATTGAGCTGTCTGTCTATACTACATTACTAGGTTAACCTAAAGTTAGATTTATCTTTTAAGTTCTACCTGTACCAATGGTTCATAATTTACACACTAATCAGTACAAAGTATGTTATCTTGGCAAATAATATAACTATGGCTTCAATTTTATCCAAGTTATTCCCCTTTTCAGCACATTGAAAATGGATATGGTTAACATAAATATTAATACTTATAATGAGACAATGTGCAGAACACAAGTTTGGGCCTCTGAGAACAAAAATTGGCCCCGCCCAGGGATTACTTGATTATGACCCCCTTCAAAGAAGTGGGGGTATATTTGCATTTGTCTGTCAGTCGGTCCGTAGTCCAAATGGTTTCAGAACAATAACTAAAACATGCATAGGCCTAGAATCTTCAAACTTCTCTTGGTATGATGATTGTTCATGACCAGCAGATGACCATATTGATTTCAGGGTCAAAGGTCAAGGTCACATTAACCTTGTAGGTGAAAATGTTTTTCAATCAATAACTAAAGAACGCTTAGGCCTAGGAACTTCAAACTTGGCATGATGATTGTTCATGACCAGTAGATGACCCCTATTGATTTTGGGGTCACAGAAGGTCACATTGACCTTGTAGGTAAAAACGGTTTCCGAACAATAGCTAAAGAAGAATGCTAAGGCTATGAACTTCAAACTTGATATGATGATTGTTCATGACCAGCAGATGACCCCTATTGATTTCAGGATCAAAGGTCAAGGTCACATTAACCTTGTAGGTAAAAATGTTTGCAAATCAATAACTAAAGAACACTTAAGCCTAGGAACTTCAAACCTGGTATGTAGATTGTTCATGACCAGTAGATGACCCCTATTGATTTTGGGATAAAAGGTCAAGGTCACATTAACATTGTAGGTAAAAACGGTTTCTGATCAGTAACTAAAGTACACTTAGGCCTAGGAACTTTAAATTTGGTATGATGATTGTTTCGAACAGTAGATGCTTCATATTGATTTTAGGGTCAAGGGGTCAAGGTCACATTAACCTTGTAGGTGAAAACAGTTTCCAATCAATAACTAAAGATCGTTATGCCTAGGAACTTCAAACTTGGTATGATGATTGTTCATGACCAGTAGATGATCCCTATTGATTTTTGAATCAAGGGGTCACAGAAGGTCACATTGACCTTGTAGGTAAAAACGGTTTCCGATCAATAACTAAAGAATGCTTAGGGCTAGGAACTTCAAATTCGGTATGATCATTTTTCATGACCAGTAGATGACACCTTTTGATTTTGGGGTCAAGGTCACATTGACCTTGAAGGTTAAAACGGTTTACGACCAATAACTCAAGAACTGAAGTTACCTTTGTTGATAATTTTTATTAAACTAAAAACGCTTTTGGTATACACATTTCAAGGTCTTATGTAATATAACAAATTGGCTGTTATTAAGGAGGCCTACATAATTCATAAAATGTATGCATATATTATTTGGTAAGATTTGTGATTACTTTGTCATTAAATTGCTGTACACAACCTTTATGGTCACAATTACCTAGTGACTGGTCATGACTAGTAGATAACCACTATTGATTTTTTGTCACTAGGTCAAAAGTCAGTCATGTAACCTGACCACATGACTAATTTGCTGCTGACTTGGGCCATAAATGTTTTACAAACATATCTTGTTTATATAGACTTGTTAAGAAATGACATTTAAGTTTTCATTGTGTGAAACTGCAATGTCTAGAGTTTAGATATTTAGCATGTAGCATTGCCTTATTGATGTTTCATGAATCATGCCCCTTGGTTCAATATTGGCCCCACACAATGGGTCTCTAGATTAATATAAAACTTATATTGGAAATACACATCTGAGACTATGTGAAACTACCATTCCAAGAGCTTAGATATTTGGCATGTAACATCACTTTGTTGACCCAAAACTAAGTGGTATTTTTCATGTCCCTTGCTACGATTTTTGTACGGGAACTGCTCGCATGCCAGTAGAGAGAATTTATACCATTTAAGTCGAGTCTGTAGAGATGACGATTATTTATACTATTTAAGTTAAGTCTGCAAATATGCCGATTATTTATACCATTTAAGTCTGCAGAAAGTATTTATATCATTTAAGTTAAGTCTGCAAATACGAGGGTTGTTCGGGAAGTTCTGAGAATTGTTTTATAGCACACGTTGTAGTCGGGTTAGCGTAAAAATAAATATATACGCATTTATTTCAATATATACTGTACAGTATCTGAAAATATCATCATCATACACACAGAAACTAAAACATAATAAAAATAGTAAATAACCATATAACAAACACCCGGAGCACGCCGACGTCATTTGCAACGTTATGCGACGTTAATATATATAAAGTCTATCGATCGTCACACCTTTTCAACGTAGTCACCTGCAATTTCGATGCATTTCCTGTGTCGGCTGATCCACTTATTGTATGTTTCCACGTACCAGCTATCGGTAAAAGGACGAGACTATAGCTTGCGTATGCTTAACAAGATTGTCAGCTGAGTCAAAGCGTTTTCCACGCAGCTGTGATTTGAGCTCCGGGAACACACGGAAGTCCATCGGAGCGAGGTCCGGGCTGTATGGAGGGTTTCTTCCTTCTTTAAAACGAGCATGCCATCTATACACTGTAGCCGGACTGCATTTCTTGTATTTTCCTGTAGAATTGATCATTTTCATTGTTTCTGTGGAAGACTTTTCCAGCGCAACACAAAATTTCACGATGCTTCGCAATTCAACGTCACCTATCGACGTCATGTTGTTTACTCAGTGGCTCTGGGCAACAACTTTAAAACAATGTTGATCCGTTGAGAATTTAAATAACGTTATGATATTTTCAGGAAATGACGTCATGACGTTCCGCTGCTGACCAGCGTTTTCGCGCATTTTTTACGTTATCAAAATTACGAAATATTATTAGTGTAGCGCGTTATACCTTTCTTTAGATCCGGACTGCTCCGGTGTGGCGTTATAGTGTTGCTATGGTTACTGCTATTTCCGGCTATTGTTGTCTGATTCTATTCAATTTTTAGGAATAGTGATATGCTAATCTTAGTATGTGCAAAATATTACGTCTTAGAAACTAAAAATATAGGAGATATGACAAAATTCCCAGAACTTCCCGAACAACCCTCGTATACCGATTATTTATACCAATTAAGTCTGCAGAAAGCATTTATACCATTTAAGTTAAGTCTGCAAATATGTCGATTATATATACAATTTAGTCTGTAGAAAGCATTTATACCATTTAAGTTAAGTCTTCAGAAAGTATTTATACCATTAAAGTTAAGTCTGCAGAAATTAATTATTTTTAAAATGAAAGTTAAGTCTGCAAATGTGCCGATTCTTTTTACAATAAAAGTAAAATTTGCAGAGATACTGTCAATATATAATAGTCTAGCCAAGTGAGCAGTAAGCATTGTTATACAAAAGGCAAATTGTGTCTATAAAGTGATGATTTTAAGCCTTTTAGGGAATACATTTTGCAGATGTGCAGATATTTCATGTTATTCTAGTTATAATTAGTAAAGATAATAATATTTCACTCCAGTATTAGGACATAAAGCAGTCGTGTGACAATTATAAAGTGTAACACCGTATCTTGTCCTGTAAATATATGACCATTGTCACATTCACTAACATTTGTACACGTGACTGACTAAAATGTTTAAAGTAGACATGGCATTTTACGAACAAAAAACAATCATCAGGCTAAATATAAATATGTTTGTTACTATGAGCTTGTTAAAAACCTTTATATCATTATAGAAGTCTTCGAGTGCGCGTTTGCATCATTAATTCAACATAATGTCTAAACTGGTGATTCTGTCTTTATTTAGTAAGACAAGTCGTGCTCATATAAAGTCTTTTCTTAAATAAAAAGAAAAGTAGGAGAAAATATATATGATATATATAATAAATAAAATAAAACGATTATTCAAATAATGCTGTATATAATATATGTATATTTATAATAATGATAAGAACTTTATTGTTAGAAGGTAGCATATGGCGACGTAGAATCGTCAAAGTACAAATAAGACATCTTAACTTTATAAATGGCCTTCTGTTATAAAATACAAATAAGATATCTTAATTTTATAAATGGCCTTCTGAACAAACAAACAAAACTAAAAAAACTAGTGATATAACTTGATTTATATCATATTCATTCTTCGACAAACACTCCTTTTAAATGGAAACATTGTATATAAATATATACATAAATATACATTTTTTATTCCACACCTTATAAAATATAACTAAAAAACTTTAATTTGATCATCATTATTAGATTCAATTTATCCTTATTCCCATTTTCAGAGTCCAACAATCCGTATAAAATCTATATTGTACACCATCAAGCCTTCATTTTTCAAGTCTAAAATTCCGTATTCAAATTCTTTTAAGATCTATATTGTATTCTAAGTAAATATAGAAATAAAATTGATATGTTTTCTCCTAAAAACGGCTTGTGCCTCGTTCTATTTCTATTTAAGTAACCAATACGTGAATAATCAATAATTTTACACGAATAAAAATCATTATACATGTAACATAATGACATGTAAGTGATGTAAATAAAAAATGATTCTTTTATTTTTTGGCATAAATCTTATTAAGGAAAGATAAATGAGATGACACTTTATTGACTAGCACCGAAAAAGGCAAAATACAAATATATTTTTTTTTAAATCCTTGTTCAGTAATATGCAAGGCCTAATTTTCGGTATTTTATTTGTCTGTATTTAAACTTTAGTTGTGAAATTATACATTTTAACTGGCGCTCTCACAAAGGTTAGCGTATGAAAACAACTGCTGATAACTGGTTAACAATTGGTATAATATTGTGATTATTTACAAACAAACGCAGACGATAAATACCAATCACCGAGATTAACAGATTAAATATTATGGTTTTGTTTTACTTTGAAAATTACTTCAAAGATTGGCGAAAAAAAAATACGGATTACAATCTTCTGTTTGTGTTCTCTTTAATCTGATAAGAATATAAACCTGGCATGGTTTCATGCCAAGTAAGGTCAATTTATATCCTCGGTTGACATTTCTCTTCTAATGTATATAGCTTTGATAGCTACGTACGGTCACTTCTTCTTTGAGGATAATTGTAGGAGTTTTATTGCGGATTTTTTAATTAAAATATTCGTTGTAGTTGTAGCAGACGACAATGTCTGAGAAATCGGACGAAGTTAAACCCAACGGAGCTCCTTTGAGTTACAGCGAATATTTACAGGTATGTGGATGAATATAAATATTATATAAATTAATGCTAGTTGCTTTTCTAAGAAGTGAGCGAAGGAATACTTATAACTATGAAATAGGAAGAGCTCAGATGTAAAAAGTTATTTACCCACCCAATATTGAGTTGCTTAATCAGTCTTTAGAGATCACTTTGTCTCCAGATTTTTTATAGTATTAAGTGCCGTGTGGCAGCTGTTAAAAGTTGCCCTGTACTTCACTTCAGTGTTGTTATATTTTCTGGTCCTTCGAGATCATTGATGTTAGCACTATTAAGTGTTGAGATTGAGCACCGCTCAAGCCGGTGCTAGGGGGCGTGAGGGACGTTGCACTATTCATTTTCCTTCATGTACAGACTCAATCAAACCTAGTTTTCAATTTTCATGTAATTTTGTTGTGATTAATGCTTCCGAGGGATCACTTTGTTTCCAGATTTTTAAAGTCCATTTATTATTTCGCGGATTCATATTTATTATCAGTCAAGGTCGTTTAAACTACGAAAATATTTTCATAAAAAATGTCTTTATTTAAAGACCAATACTAACATAATTATATGCATGTGATTTGATGTATTTGTTTTTGAAATATTTGTAGCTTGGGAAATTGTTAGACTGTCAGACTGTTCAGAGTGAGAAGGCGGGAAGCGCCGTGCATGATGAGCACCTGTTCATTATTACACATCAAGGTGTCGTCTGCTTATTTTCATTTACATTAATAAACTTATATTTTACATACGATTTGTAAAATAAAATGTGCTATTTTGTTGCATTTAAGTATTTGAAATTGTATTTGATGCATGAAATATGCAAATACAGGCATCGCGCACTAAACTGCCACATCATTGTGTCAACGAACATATGTCATAATTTCTTCCTTGAATAATGTCCATCTTTTGATATATCATAGAAACTTTTCTAATATTGTTAAATATAAATCAGACCTGTCTTAGTTTCACATGTATGTAATATAACAGATAAGTAATCCAGTGATAAAAAAATACATTGTGTGTCTTTTAATTTCTCTAATATATTAAATTGATGAAAAGAACCTACTTCTGTGCCCTTTTAAATAGGAAATGAAGTATTTATCTTTATTTCGTACGTAAAGACAATAGTTTTGAAGGGTTTAAATTGTTTTAATTTAATTTTTCTTTATATACAATATATATAAATTATATTCATCTTTTGTAATTATTATTTCAGCGTACGAATTGTGGTTTAAGCAGATGTTATTTGAGATAGACTCTGTGAGGAAACTTTTCATGACACCCTCAAAGGTAATCATGCCTTAATAATAGTATTATAATTAACATTATGCTCATCTTGTGTGCATGTATCTGTTAGGAATATTCTAGAAGAGTGCTTTATTAGACTTAACATAACTGAAAAAGAACACAATGTCACATCAAAGGTAGGAGTCATAATTGAGCCGCGCCATGACAAAACCAACATAATGGGTTTGCGACCAGCATGGATCCAGACCAGTCTGCGCATCCGCGCAGTCTGATCAGGATCCATGCTGGTCGCTTACAAACCCTATAACAAGTAGAGAAACTGATAGCGAACAGCATGGATCCTGATCAGACTGCGCGGATGCGCAGGCTGGGATGGATCCATGCTGGTCGCAAACTCATTATGTTGGTTTTTTTCATGACGCGGCTCATATATATTGCGACTTGTCTTCTTTACATAAACGCGCAAAATTATAACTGCATGTATTTCGGTCGCATGTAAATACATTTTCTACTTGTAAATACTTAATATCGTATACTCGTGCAAATTAATGTTAAGTGTATAAATCTGACTTTGATATATTTGATATTCTGTTGCTCTATGTAATTTTGATGAACATAACAATCTTTTCTTGCAATGTTTTTTGTTAAGCGTGTCACGTTATTTTATTTAGTATTAACCTATGTCATTTTATACATTTATTGTAGACACTAGACGAGGGTAAGACATTAAATATCATCAACAGATTAAACCGGGTCGTGCTTATCCTCAAGGTATGATCATCACAATTTTCTAGATATGCTTATAAATTACCTACGTATCTCATAAAAATACATCACAGAAATCAAACATGTGTACATAAAATTATGCTCGAATACAGGAATGTCTCATGTATAAGGAAATATTCTTAAATATTGTTTAGTCGCACCAACATTTTAAACGGTAAACTTGTGCCATAAATGCATCATTTCAAGCCAGACAGAGCCTATGACCATCTGTTACCTAACTAAATTAGATATCTTACTGGCATAATAAACACAGTGGTAAGTGGCAAGTGAAGTAATGTCAACGGCCCAAACAACCCGGCCTCAAAATAAATAATAGATAAATAAAACACACAAAATTTACTGTAATATTTATTATATGAACTCGAAGGGACATATGGTCATTACCGATATAACACCCTATTGATTTATATTCATCTCGATATTAAACTTCAGAGCTTTATAACTTATGATGCGCTTTTCCAACAAACAACAATATATATATATTTCAGTTGCTTGCAGACCAATTCGAGATTCTAGAAACAATGACACCCCTCGACTTTCTCGAGTTTAGGTAAGACCGTGTACAATTAGTTTAAAAAATCAAGCAAGATTTAATCTGAAATAATCCAAATGACACTGCACGTGAAATTTGAAATCATATCATCCTATCACATGTCCAAGTGAAGCATTCGCCACTTCAAATCTGCTTTTAAATTAATATTTTACATATATAATTATTGATGTTATTTTACAGGGGTCACTTGTCAACGGCGTCAGGCTTTCAGAGTTTACAGTTCCGTTTGTTGGAAAATAAACTAGGACTGAAAGAGGTTGGTACATTTATGATGGTCTTACGTGGTTGAAAATATATTGTAAATGTCGAAAAAGAGATTATTGAAGGACGGTTACAGTCACTTACATGTTTACTTAAAAAAACTTACATTACGGTCCATTTCAGTATTAAATAAAAGTGGAATCACTTAAGCTGTATCATTTTTAGAAAATAATGCAGTGATAAGACGTAATTAATACACATAAATTATCTTTAAGTTTAATTGTGTTATCAAATTAACAGGAACACAGAATAAAGTACAATCAGCAACATTATAAAAGGGTGTTTAATGACGACGTATCTATTGGCCAACTTCAAGATTCCATGGAAAACCCATCCTTGTTCCAGCTTGTTGAGGTAATCTGTCTGTATTTTTTCTCCGGAATTATAAAGCGAGTTGTTGTTTCGGAATTCAAAATTTCACCATTTTCGTGTTTTAATGTTGAATTATGCTTAATTCGGTGCTAGAGGGCGTGGGCGGTAATTTGCACTTTCCAGTACCGTCCATGAACAGGCTCAATCAAACCGAGCCCGCAACATTTTCAATTTTGCCGTGTTGGGCTTTTTTAGGGATTCTGTTTTTCTCCATTTTATCTACCCCTTAAAATATGTGGAGGTTTATTGTATAGACACTGTTCACGTGATTGCCCTTATTTCGTTGACATTTTCAATATATTGTAAGAACTATATTACAAATTTAGATACCTAGTAACTGTAATAAATGACACTTTGTACATAAACACTGCTTACTAAATATTACACTAGCTGTCATAGGAGACAGGTATTTGAGAAGAAATTTGACCAATTACTTTAAAACATAAATCTTGTAGTAGTAGTAGACCATTAAATTATCAGCAACATCTATTAAATATTAATCTTATTTATGAATTTTATAGATCAATTAAGCATAGAACATTAAACAGGGCAATGTTGACAACAAATAAAGACAACCATTTATTTTTAGTGTAAAATAGATTCATCATTATACTATGATAAATTATGTATATAATGTGATATATAATACCTGTTTATTCTTAAAAAGTGATAACATAGTTGTACAGTTTCAATTATATCAAGTATCATCCTGTTTTAAATGCTATGACATTCAGTGTAACAAACACGGAACCATCCTGTTGTCATAAATTGCTGTCTATTTTCATTTGTTAACCGCAGAATCCTGTGATTTTGTAATGAACTTTCCGTATGTAGATATGTATCTGATTCCTGGAATTTAATTTCATCTAATTTTTTTCAGTCATGGTTAGAACGGACGCCTGGACTGGACAGGTCCGAGTTTCATTTTTGGGAAAGATACCGGAGGTCGGTAAACAGATGGATTGATGATTGTTGGTTGAAGGCGGCCATGGTGAGTTATACATAAATACTACAAGACAATCATAAATAATGTCTCTACAAAAACAAATAGGCCTAATCTGTTTTATTTTTCCTTTTTTACTACAAACTGTGCGAATATATTGAATTGGTGATTTTTTTCATATTTTAGAAATAACCACCAACGAGTTCATATTTACTACAAACTGCATATACATGTATAATGTCAGGTGACTTATTTGTATCAAATTGACTATAGGACGAGGATGACCCTGTTAAGAAGGAGACCAAGATGCTCGAGTATAAGAAACAGATTGACACGTTCGAGTCTATCTTTGATCCAAAACAACACCAGGTGCTCGTTGAACGCGGTAAGGTTTATAATGCAGATCGATATAATCTGCAATCAAACAGGATTTCATTTTTTATATATCAAAACACATGCTTATGTAAACACCGTATTACCGGCGGCAGTGATGGCAGATCACTGCAGTGATGGCAGATATCTGAAAATTACCGATCGGTACAGGTAGGTTATAAATTTGGTTGGTTTAATTATATTACACAAATACGGCCCATATCATTGCTATAAAACTATTGTCCATTGAATGGAGATACTGTAAGGTAATTTTGGACTCGTTTTTTTTTTTCCTGTTTTCAGACTATTTTGAGCAGGTTAAAAGTGAAAGCATTGGAAAAAAAATCCGTGAAAATGTCTGTTTTCTGTTCAAAATCGATCTCAAGTTTTAAGTAAATGGCAGGATTTCCTGTTATCAATATAGACGTTCATCCATTGGGGTCACGCAAGCCAAATATCTACCCCGTGAGTCTTTTCTTGAAAGTTTTACAGACGCTCAACTCTTGTCCGGTCGAAGAAAAAAATGCTGCCCGTTGTAGGCAGATACATATTATAAATGCTGCCGTCGATGGCAGAAATACCATGAAAGTGGCTAACATTCTGACAGAAAATCAAGTTCAATCTTTTATCAATTTCTCTTTTCTTTGCGTCCTTAGTCGGAATTGAGACGTTAAACTATCATTTCTAATATTTTCAAGATAGAAAAGTTATTAATGCGGTGTATGCATCGAAAAAAAGCTTTTTAGCAACATGCAGTTACAATACAAAAAGTGGACGACAAAATTTCACTATAAATAGAGAAATGAACATGAAAAAACTTCATTTTTCTATATTCATGCATGTGCGCTTGATCTGTTCATATGAATTGAAAGGTCAAAAAAAGAGAAAAAAGAATATAACAAATCAAAATATTCTAGTTTTTTTCCTATAAATACAGGATTTATTTTCATCTTGTGATATGAATCATCGAAAGGTTCATCTTTATCAGTTGTCATGGTTAACAACTAAAATGAATGAAAAAATATATAGTTAAATGGGAGCGCGTGATGTTAGAACTGTTGTTAATAGTTTAGCATAGAAAATGTAATTCAAAGGCAAAAACTACAACGCTATTACACACATGAAAATTTTAAGAAATGAACGTTGTCGTGTTTTTCAAGAACTTGATAATATAGGAAAATATTTGAACTGTCAATAATAATTATTTTTCCATTTTACATTAACATACATTGTTTTTATGATACACTGATGCAGTTGCGAGGTTAATAGTCTCCCCCTTTATTACATCAATTTAATAATTTATAATCTGCGCCGATTAAGTAAATTTCAGCCTTTATTTGTCATAAAAGCGATGAACATTATTACCTCGAGAAAATAATGTCATATGCTAGCAAATGAATATCCACTTACAGAAGTTACTTGCTGTAATATGCAATTGGCGTTATGTCTTAAAAAGGGAGTGCGCTGCTAAACTTAAGACACATATAGTATTGTATGCATGTAACTGACAGACACAACAGATCAAGCACACATGCATGAATATAGAAAAATGAAGTTTTTCATGTTCATTTCTCTATTTATAGTGAAATTTTGTGGTAACTAAAAATCATAACTTTTTGTATTGTAACTGCATGTTGCTAATAAGCTTTTTTTCGATGCACATACCGCATTAATGAAAAAATCAAAAAATCTACAAAAACAGCAATTTTTCTTCAAAATTATATGTGAGGCCATGTTTTAACATGGAAAAAAGCGTTTTTGGGTAATTTCGTTTTTCTTTATCATTTTCTGTTAACCGCATTACCAGATATATACGCTTTCTACGCCCTTTTTCACCCCCCCCTCCTTTTTTGCTTTCTCTCAAATGGTGAAAAAATGCCTTATTTAGGCCCCCAAACACTTGTGTTTTGTTTTGATAAAATGTTGTTTAAAAAAAATTGATTACTTTTTCGGCGCGGCCCCACCCCCATCCAAAAGATACATCAGGGGGTTGCCAGAAGGGGATATGCCCCTTCTGTTTGGGGGGTTTGAAGGGGGGCTGAGTCCCCCTCATCGCCAAGAAAACTTTGGACTTGTGGGAGGCTAAAAATGGCCCCAGGTCGATCATAAGGTAACGTGTAACCAATGCTGAAAAGCCTTTGACTCTATCTCAATCCATTGAGAAGTGGCAGCACTTTGAAATCAATTTTTGATGGAAAAATCAACGCAAAATAGTGATTTTTGGGCAATTTTGAGATGTCCCTAGTGCTATGGTAACAGGAAATTTCAGACTGAACATGTTGTTACAAAGGCAATGGTCCAGTCAACATTTTTTGTGCCCAAGTTTGATTAGTATTGAAGCAGTTTTTAATAGTTTTTATAGCAACTTGAACTTGTAACGGGAGACCTTTCAATGAAAACAGCCATTTTTCACAAGATGCTCATGGGGTAATGGGTTAATAACTTTTCTATCTTGAGAAAATATTAGAAATGATAGTTTAACGTCTCATTCCGACTAAAAGGACGCAAAGAAAAGAGGAATTGATAAAAGATTGAACTTGATTTTCTGTCAGAATGTTAGCCACTTTCATGGTATTTCTGCCATCGACGGCAGCATTTATAATATGTATCTGCCTACAACGGCAGCATTTTTTCTTCGACCGGACAAGATTAAGCGTCTGTAAAACTTTCAAGAAAAGACGTCACGGGGTAGATATTTGGCTTGCGTGACCCCAATGGATGAACGTCTATATTGATAACAGGAAATCCTGCCATTTACTTAAAACTTGAGATATTTTGAACAGAAAACAGACATTTTCATGGATTTTTCTAAGGCTTTCACTTTTAACCTGCTCAAAATACTCTGAAAACAGGAAAAAACGAGTCCAAAATTACCTTACAGTATCTCCATTCAATGGACAATAGTTTTATAGCAATGATATGGGCCGTATTTGTGTAATATAATTAAACCAACCAAATTTATAACCTACCTGTACCGATCGGTAATTTTCAGATATCTGCCATCACTGCAGTGATCTGCCATCACTGCCGCCGGTAATACGGTGTGATGTAATATTTTAACTTTATGGACTGTCACTTTGTTCTTGTATTTCGTTTGATAATTTAATGTATAAACATATCAAATGATGTAAATGGCAGATGTGTTTATAAGTAAACGTTTACATTAACTTGGACATAATTCTTAACAGACCGGCGAATAAGTATACTAGCAGATACTTGTATTTCATTATGTAGATAATATTTGAAATACTTATTTCATCACAGTATCAGGTCCTGTAATGACCTCTTGCAGTTTTTGAATATTCAGACAGGAAAGTTTATATGAGCCGCGTCATGACAAAACCAACATACTGGGTTTGCGACCAGCATGGATCCAGACCAGCCTGCGCGTCCGCGCAGTCTGATCAGGGTCCATGCTGTTCGCTATCAGTTTTTCCACTTGTAATAGAGTTGATAAGCGAACAGCATGGATCCTGATCAAACTGCGCGGATGCGCAAGCTGGTCTGGATCCCTGCTGGTCGCAAACCCACTATGTTGGTTTTGTCGTGACACGGCTCAATTATGTATTATATTTAACAACATGAACATTTAAGGTGATCGTCGCTTCAGTCACAAGGCGTCACAGGGAGCACTGATGATATCATTGTATCGTGATGAACCCAGGTTTCATCAACCTTTCCATATCCTCACACTTCTAACTGATATAGACTCCCTCATGATTAAATGGAGGGGTATGTGTATATATTTATATATTTCTATGTTTTCTATTTCTATGCAACGCTTTAGAAACCTTTCTTTCTTATAAAGGGACCCATTGGTCAAATACTTAGTCCACTCCAAATGTTGGCACCGCATTAAGTAGCAAGATTATTTTATTCTTTTTATTATCATTCTTGTTAATTTGTTTAAAGATATGCTTGTGACTAAACTATTGACTGTTTATCTGGCGAATGTCACTGAATGTAAATGTCTTCGTAAACGTTTTCTTGTAATTTATGCTTTAACTATTCCGTAAGGAACATAGCTATAAAATTATTCATACTATCACGTTATTTTTTAAGCAGTACAACAAGAACATTTTATGATGTAATGATGTTGAGTTTATTTATATTCATGTGACCTTAAACCTTAACACTCATTTCTGTAAATTCCCACTGTCCACATTGTAGAATGTTATATTATGGTAGATTTCCCGCCATTGCAACCAACTTTAATCTTGTTCAAGGGAGACATATATGATTATCTTACTTAATGTCTAATTTGAGTTGTTTCCCTTCTCTAAATCTCGTCTGAAAATATATTCTTTTTAATAGTCTATAATGAAATGTAATTTATTTTTTTCTTTTTAAATCTGTTAAACATAAAATATTATCTGATTTCTTTTATTTATCATATTCGTTAAACACTTAATTAATATTTCTTAAATGTAAATAATATTTTATTTTTTAAAGCTAATCACGTGACAATGGTACAGAGAATGATTGGAAGTAAGGTTGGTACTGGAGGTTCGTCAGGGTATCAGTATCTTCGCTCTACAATAAGGTAAAAATATGCATATTCTTTCCAAATATTCCTACCAACATTTGACAAAATTGTTTTAATTGTTTTTTTTTTATCTTTTCATGCATCGGAGCACTTTATGGAAACATAAAGTAAATCACACAGTTAAAAAAACATAGCTCAAATTGAAGTCCACCTTCAAAATAAAAGATCAAAGAAACATGTTTACTAGTTTGTCTATTACAATTATCATACACAGCCGAGAGATTTTCTCAAAGAATTGATGCGAATCAATAATTGTCGCGAGAATCTGCATTTCTTTAAATCAATTATTTATTTTTCTTTATTATTCTTTAATTGTCATTTTATTTCAGTGACCGCTACAAAGTATTCTTAGATCTCTTCAATTTATCAGCGTTCTTGATTCCACGTGTTTATATTCCACCGCTTACTTCTACCATGAAAAGAACACTGAGTATCTTATCACACGAGCAGATTGAAGAACTTGACGCCGACTTCGAGCAAAGTCAGTTGTCTTCTGATTCTGACGATGCAGGCGACAAAAGTAACACACGCGCAAATGGCACCACGCAGGAAAAAGACGCAATTATTGAATTCTTGTGAATAGTGAAAAACAGTGACTTGATTTTTTGTTAGATGAAAACGAGCAATGTTTCTTTCAGTTTTAAATTTTCAATTGAGTTTTCAATTTCATTTGGGAAAAGCAAGGGATTATGTGTGTTTGGTGTATTTTGTTATATTGTATATAAGTCTTTCTACATAAACAAATGTCATTGATACAACAGCATAGAAAAACAACGCTTCATTTATTTTAATGATATTTTGTATTCGGATACGGTTGATATTACATTTCGTTATTTGTTTTATATTTTATATGCTAATAAATCTTGTTGTTATTATCCTTATTTTTGTCTTATATTTAAAAAAAGTATCATGATCTTAAATACTAGTATTGCACAAATGTTTGAGGCGAAAAATAAATCTTCGATATTGTTTATCAGCATCTTTAATCATACATAAACAGAGTTTAAAGATGTTCTGTTATTACTAGCCTAATTTTGATAAACTTTTCTTGGCACAAGTTTAAGGTCAGACTCTTTTGATTTTCACATAGACTTACATTATGGGAAATTGATCCAAAAGTATTCGTCCTAAAGATGTTATTGTTCTAGATGATATGCCTGACATAAAGAACATTATATAGTGGTGACTGAACAAATGTTTCGTGAAATGCCTTCTAAGGTGTTAACAATCCTTTGCATTGTCCCTTATCAAAATTGAAATTTACGGCTGATCACGAGACCAACATAACTTTAACTCTTAAAATGTAAATATCCACTTCAAAAGTTGTCCTAGAGAATCATAGAGACTTATGAATATTTCATTTTCTCAAGTAAACAATGAAATACATTTGTATTAGTTTCTGATAAAGCATCATATTTTGCTCCTAGTCACTTGCCCCATTGAATGTTACGGTTTTCACACAAATTAGTGGCTATGTTACAATACAATACTCTGACCTAAAATGATACAATATATGAGTTGAAAGCAACATTGATGACTTACCAAAAGACATTAGATAAAGTTCTATGCCACATAAAGTATAATTTCTACTTATTTTTCCCAGGGAACTGACGGATGTATACGTTCGGTATTACTTAATTTTACAATTTTTACCTTATCATTCAATCTGACCTGATCCAACATTCAACTTTTTTCATCACCGGTACTTCAGGAAAGGAATGATAATCATTTTCAGAAGAACATGTTACGTACTTGTGAGATTTCTCCTCCACTTACTTGAACATACCTAAAATATATAAAAGTTGTATGTACATTGTATTTACACAAGAGTGTGAAATAAATAAAGGAAGTTGAAAGTGTAAACAAGTTACGTCTGGTTTAAAACTTTTTTTTCTGCTCGACAGGTGTAACTTTGATCCTTAAACATCAAAGGCTTAAAAATCATAATTTTCTATCATAGAAGACCGTATTATCTTTATAACGGTAATTAAGTTTTACAGCAAAGTGTAATTTTTGATCAATTTTGTATACAGCAATGATTGATATAATGCTATGTTATAGATAGAAATCGAAGCAAAATATTATTTTTTTGTAGCTCTGAAGAAAACTTATTGGGTATTACAATTAATAACACCTTGTCTTGGCAAAGCCATATTGATAATGTTCTTAAAAAGTGTAACTCATTGTTACATTTATTATCACGTATAAAATTATTCATATCTATACCGGTACGTAAAATGTTTTACAATGCATATATTTTACCACATCTTGATTATTGTTGCATAATTTACGGTAACTGTATGTCTTTTCTAGAAGATAAAAAGTTCCAAAAGAGAGCTGCAAGACTAATTCTAGACAAAGATTTTGACACTCCATCTGCTGAACAATTCTGAACTCCGCTGGATGACCTTTTCACAGAGTTTCAAAAAGCTATTATGATGTTTAAAATAATGAATAATCAGGCGCCTTCCTATTTATTGAATCATTTCATTTTATCGTCAGATGTTCATACTCGCATTTTGCGTTCATCATCTGATTTTCAACTTTATACCCCTATACCAAATACTAAACAATTTCGTAAGTTTTTTGTTTATTCTGGATCTTGTATTTGAAATGGCCTTCCTGATTATATTAAGTCTGCTACATCTGTTAACCATTTTAAAACCTTATACTTGAGGTTTTATCACACATTGATGTATACAAATTGATAATCTCCTGTATGTTTTTACATTTCGTCGTGCTAGTATTATAAGGTTCTATCTCCATTTTCATGAAAATTGAGTATGATATACCACTGGATTCAGAATTAAAAGATCTATCTCCAGGTGGTTTCCATTTATGTATAAGGTTACCCTGCTTGATATAATAGCATGTATATCATTTTCCATTTTCGAAAATAATAGTTGAATTAATTATTATGTTGCTCTATGTCCATGAGCCAATCAGTGATTGTGTGCGAGGTCATGTGACAGATTTTGCTTTGTCAAAAAGCATTGACACCATTGCTTAAACTGGCTGACAGAAGTAAGTTAGTTTTTCAGTATCATATTTGATAAATTGCTAGGAAATATTACCAGCAAGTCAAAGCAAAACCTTTAATTCTTTTAAAAGAGATAATGTCATTATATATGATTACCGCCTTTAAAATATAAATGGTTATAAACACTACTCCTGGAGATAGGGTATTGTAATTCTAAAGAGAAATTTTTTATTTTGTTTTAATATTTTCAAAAACATGGCAATAAATAGAAGGCAGTGTTGTTTAAGGCTAATGTACTTATTCTAAAACATTTTTAATCATCTATTTGAGTTATCAAAAAAAATAATAATAAGGTATCGTGAAAAAAGTCGTTGTATATTTTATAAAATATGACTTTTGAACTATGGATATATTCGGATGATTGAATTTCGGTTATAGTTGTTGTTTCTTGTTTTAATATACTGTCGTCTATATAACCAACTGTTGTTGTGGTATAAGATACTTTAATTGTTTCAGAGATTAGAGTGTGTTTTATTGAATGCAGATGCCAGAACATATACTAGTGTTTATTTTGTGATTTCTTCCATTAGAATTTTTACTTGACAATGTTTCACTAACATGTTAAAGACTCCACAACAGCGCATTAAATGTTTTTGCCGTTTATGAGAAATTTTGAATTTTCTTTTCCATTTAGCTTAAACGATAGAGGCATCCACAATATTTTCCAACATGCTTGTGGGCTTAAACTATTTTTAATTCCATGAATATTCATCCTGTTCAACATTTAAACTTTACCAATGATTTTAGTTCGCTCAGTCACTGTAAATCAACATATTGGTTAGATATTTCAGGCAATCCAATTTTATAATTGTCACATCTAGAATAAAACTTAATGTCTCACATTGCAGAAACTTAAACGACTTCGATTTTCCTGCGATTAGATTTTGTCATCAACTACTGTCAATTACTAGTATATATTTTTTCTCATGCAAATGTTATCAGGTGAACAATCAAGTTCCTTTAAAACTTTGTTTTATTTTCACTCTTATTGGCAAATAAGGAGGATCACATATAGTTTAAAGAACTTATTGCAAATGCTTACATTGACTGTTCCTTTCATAGTTTTCAAATTGAGTAAAGTTTTTTTCTCAGGTGAAATAAGTTTTTGCAAATCCTCCAATCTATCATTATGTTTTTGTAGTATGTGCTGCCTATTAAATTGTGACAGGAGTTGTTGCATTTTTATTGTAAATCTATCGAGGGCATTTTTTTAAACATTTTGGTCTTTTTAACAGAGAGAGATAAAATCAAGAATTATTAATTCAAGACAAAGTAACAGATAAACATGTTAAAATTTCCATTTTATCAGAGAGTTGATTTTATATTCAGTTTTTGTTTGTAACTAATTGAATAAAGTGTTTTTGTTCGTTAACATTGCAGAATTTTTTTAGGTTGGAAAAACTATTGCCTTATAGTTATATGATAAATATTTAAAGCAATTGTGTTGAAATCTTTTGTTTCAGTTTTGTAAAAATTCACAATGCAGGTAAAGTACAAGTAGTTTATTGCGATCTATTACAAAACCTGTATGTAACTGATGCAAACAGGTGAAATAATTTATTCAAATTTATTTCTTTGTCACAAGTTATATCAAAATGTGTATCTGAAAGATAAAAATACAATTATTGACCAGAATTTTAAGTTTGTTTATACAAATATCATAATAATCCTATTTGCTTTCATTAGAATTGAACATATTTATTAGTTTTAAAATATCCTATATCCTAGTTCATACTATCCTGGGCAGTTTAAAAACGCTCTATCTCCGGGTGCAACATAATTCTAAGCTTCTGTTAAGTACAAATAAGCAAAAAGCTCTATCTCAAAATGAAAAATCCGGTTTTAGAAAATATCTCTTAAGATATTGTGTAAAATCTTTGTTTGCAAGTTATGATAGAACATATTAATGATTCATTCAAAAAATCTCCACCATTACATAGTCCAGTAACATTTTTCTGTTAACTAAATTTTAAAGCTCGATTTCCCGCAATGTTACATAATGGCACTTAGGACCTTATTATACTAGCACGACGATTTATGTATTTTAATAGTTTGAATATGTTAAATTTATATTGTTCCTTGTTGAGGGCCTCATAGGATGATTGATATGTTTGTTCAAATGAGTTCTCTCGTTAAATAAAATCTTTATTATTATTATTATTATTATTATTATTATTATTATTATTGTTATCGTTGTTTTCAAATAAATATTTCATTCGAATAAAAAAAACTGTAGACAGAATATTTGACATTAAACAGTGTTGTTTTTCTACATTTTATATTTGTTTATATGTAAATTAGGAATATGCAAGCTTGCTTATAACGACGAATGGCACACTTTCACTCATGTTACGGGTTCCTAACAAACGCCTTATATTAAACCGCGGTGTATAGCCTAAACACATAGTTCGTTCCAGCAACGGAAATGTAAAACTTTAGGCGAAGTTCCTTAAGGAAATTTGAAAAGACATTGTCATCCATGTTGAGTATAATTTCCACCTAATTCCTTCCTGAATCATAAGTTCTATTATATAAAGAGACATATTACAGGTTTAAACATCAAGCTTTTTATTCTTCAAATGTTCTTTAAAGGCTTCTGTAGGAAACTATATGTAATCGCTTATAGCTATAGTAGAATTTGTTTCTTAAATGTCACTTCATCACCTTTGTTCTAGTCCAAAGATATGTTTTGGATGGAAGGAGGGGGGGGGGGGGGGGGGGGTTAGCGGGGTTAAGAGTAGTTGGGAATACCCATTGACAGAATTAGGTATATAGGATAGTGGAAAGCAGGCTAGTACTTGTGTACATTTCTTTATTTATTGTTTACTTTTAGCTTAATTATGTGAAAGAAAATAATACACTAGACGCCCATCATTGGAAACATTGAATTAGAGATAGTCACAATGTAAAAGAAACAGTTAATTAAGTCCATGTGCTTCGGAAATAAACGAGAAATGAAATGTTTAATTTCCTTTTTTGTTGCCAATTAAAGCGATTTTCGATAAATTAGCACTTAGATCGAACTCTAGGAAGATTCTTAACTGAATACAGAATATAAAATATACAGAGATCTTGAGCCAGTCGGAAACCGTAATGAGAATTTTTTCATCAAAAAATAAACTTATTAAACTGTTCAAAACGAAACTGCATACCCAGGCAAGGAGAATGCTCTGCAAATAAGCAAAGAATGGACATATTATCGCAACATAAGGTGACTCAGTCAGAATTATCAATTGTGATTGAATAAGTATCATTAACTTTGGCATAGAACGAGTATTGTCCAATAAAATTCTAATACATTATAGCTCTGGCTGTCCCCTGATATAGCAATTTTACCTTGTTTTGCATGTAAATAATTATAACTTGCCATATAAATATTGCCATTTCCGACATGAAACCAGTAAAAAAGGTGAAGAAATAAACAAAATGTTTGCAATCCGTCATATTTATTACACATTTAAATTGCGAGATATATAAGAGATGATGATAAAGATCTTTAGGGAGCAAGATAACGTCAATCACTGGGAAATGATATATTAAAATCGCAGAGTTAATTTTCAGAGAAAAAGCCAACAAAAACATAGTAAATAAAGACAATATTAGAAGATGATTTTTTTACTATGTACACTTATATTTTGTTTTATATTAAAACAATCATGAATATTGCCTTTATAATTGAGATAGTATATGTAAACGAGTTATAAAGAGGTTTTTGTATGTTGTCTAAATCAATCATTTTCCGTTTTCTCTATTTTAGTGTATTTTCAATATATTTTAATCAACTTTGTAAGACTTCGTATGTGTATGTAATATAATTTATAAATTATATTGTCATTTTTCACTTTTTTTTCATGTACTGAAAATGATTTTATAACAGTTAGTTAGTTTAGTTACCTTAAATTAATAATATTGTCAAAGTTTTAATTAACACTGAAAGATATTAATCAAAATTGGATGACTTAATTTTTTAGTTCAATCAAATGGTTCATGTTTTCACATACGCGTAGTGGTAGATTCGTTTTTCCATACAAAACATGATATACATGTACTAGTAAGTAGGTACTTGCATTTCGCTGGTAAATAAGCATGATACAAAATATAAGATATATAATTTCGGGAATGCATCAATATAAACTTACAAAAAGATGAAAAAGAAATATTCAAACTGATCGTACTTGCACCTTATTTGTTTTAGTAAATAAAAAAAAAATGTTATATTTATACTACTTCTGTGATAGAAACACGCGCTAGCTACTGATTATACAGCTTTAAATTCATGCATATGTTCTGTTTTTTTTCTCGGCATGACATATATACATGTGTATATAATAATGTTAAGTAAATAACGGACAGAATTGTATTGACTCTCGATATTTTACATGACGTGTTACGACGATGAACCTACATGTTCAAGTCAATCTGGCTGATCTGTTTTTTTAAGGGAGTAGCTTTGATACATTTACACAAAACTGGCACCAACGGTTACAGGAATGTTAAACACTAGAAATTTACAAACATTATAAAATAGAGAGAAGTAGAATCTCCAAAGAACATCCAAAACGACGGTTTGTTCATGGTCTGTTAATGGACAGTACTGGAAAGTGCAAGTCACCGTCCACGCCCCCTAGAGGATCAGAGGTTATGAAGCCTGTATATCACAGATAAGTTGTCAAAAGACAAATTAAAAAGAAGGCAACATATTCTTAGGGTACGGTGATAAAACAGTATTCAAGTAAGAAATACTAGAAAAAAGCAATATATAAACTATTAGAAAGAACTAAAATAGAGAAAAACAGAATCCCTAAAGAACGCCAAAAAAAGACAAAATTGAAAATGTTGCAGGCTCGGTTAGATTGATCCTATTCATGGACGGTACTCGTAAGTGAAGTTACCGTCCAGGCCCCAGATGTGTTCATACGGCGGTGGTGATGAAACCTTCAACTGGCCACGTTAGTGCCATTCTTCAAACACAACAATACTATCGTGTTGAACCATCTTCACGGATCAGAAACTTCTTAAGGATATGAAAAGTATTTAGATATATTGCCATTTAAATTTAGCAGCGTTTTGTCTAAGCTTACACTATCATCATTAATTTTACACAGGTCGTTACGATAGGATTTTTCAATAAGAAATGAATGCATATATTCTAATGATTACATATAATGTGGACAAATATTTGCAGTACATATTTTACATATTCTTCGATGTTTGACAATTGTTTCAGAAGCATAATTATATACATATATAATTTCACTTAAGTGTGGTTACAACCTTAAAATACAACATACAGGATCTTTAAAATTATTATCATCCCAGAAAGTTATAAGCTCACAGGAAACTAATATCACAGTATATAAACAAGATCACTGTACCCTGTCTTGTGAGCCTATATAATTCAATGTGTACCCTGTCTTGCGAGTAAAAGCACATGTTTCTTCCTATCACTGTACCCTACTTCAGAGCCTAAATATTTTAACTTGTACCTTACTTGCGATAACAGGTAGTAGACTTACTTATATACTGTGAATATGTTTTTAACATTGTCAATCTATTTAGAATTCTTAGCAAAAAAATGAATATAACATCTAACCCATTAACTAAAATTAAGCCACTATTTACGAAAGAAAATCATGCTAATCATTTAATAAAATAACAAAGGTGAAATACTTTCTCCTTGACGGATACCTGTATACCCTTAAAATATTCAGACCGAGGTAAAATTTGTATATCATAAATATTATTTCGGAACTACCAAACTATATCAACGGAACGTTATAGAATTTTTCCCCTAATGACGTTGCTCCATTTGTTTCGAGCCTTGATACATTTTCTGAATTTCTTTGTAGATTACAATGTAGATCCGTTACTGGCATTTGACATCATCGAATTTTTTCTTCACAGCTGCCAGAAAACTCGACACACATATTCAACCTTTTGCTGCTGGTGGGAAAAAATTATTTCTGTTCGACGTGTGCAGAAGTGAGATATGTCAATTGTAGATTTATTCTAGCTATTTAGTTATATACTGTAGAAGATATACCAAACGTTTCTTTTCCAATTACTTTTGCTTATTGTATTCATATTACATTTATATAACGCGAAAGTGTCTGTCGTATATTTTACGATAACGTACAGAATATTGTTTCTATTAGTAAATACTAATACTATAGTATGTTTAACATTTGATAAGTAAAAAGTCGGCCTATATTTCTGTTTAAATCAATGTCTGTATTACAGCAAAATCTCGTAACAAACATAATCAATTAAATATACATGTACATGTATATATTTTTATGTGTGTATCAGTTTTGAAAAATAATTTTGGCAGTAATACTAAATGTTTGAATTCTTTTCCTTTTTGTAGGATCTCACCATAAGACAATTACCTAAATCATACAACCCTCTTGTTCTTATTTTCACTTTTAAAGACCTTGATTTGACAGCACCTTTGCCTATAAAATTTGGAAATATTATATTCGACGAACACAACAAAATAATCAGGCTCGATTTGAACGGACGATTGTGATTAATTCAAGCTGCCGTTCAAAGTTTAGACATATCTGTAGATGTATGTCTACGATTGCTATCATGAAAAGAATGTTCAATGTAACACATTATGAACGAACGCTGCGTTTTTACTAACAATAGGGTTTTTACATAGGTCTTATTTTTTCGGGTGCATCCATTTTCGCTTTTTTTCTTTTTGTGTAATGAATGTTCCAGTAATATTTATTGTATAATAGAAACAGTCTTTTAAGAACTTTTATTTCATGAAACAGGAACAAAGATTTTGAAAAGTGGATATCCCTCGTAAGTTTTGTAACGTATCATCATATGGGAGGACCTGAAAATTAACCTAAAGATTTTGCCCGAAAGACTGCCTCCAAATTACTAACTACATGAATTGTATCATGTTCTATTGAATCAATCAAATCGAGCTGACAACATTTTCAGTTTACCCTTTTTGGGGTTTTCTTTGAGATTCTGTTTTCTTTATATTAAAGAAATATAAACCTACCTTCAAGTGTACGACAACATGCGTGAATGGTACAATTATCGAAACAAACAAAACAACAATAGTTATGGACAGGACAAGGAAAAATATCTGGTTATATATCCAGGTTACAACCAGACAGGTTTAATTCGTGACAGTCCTAGAACTCACTCGAAACTGTCTTAAAATATTCTATATTTGACAGTTCTTGTTTTGCTCTTTTTGAGATGGTTAGAAATTTAAAATTTGTCAAATAAGTACGCCATACTTAAAGGATTAATAATTAATAATACACTCTTAGCCCAAGTTCCTCGATTTAGTTAACATAACTTCGATTACACGTCATTTATCCAACAGAAATGTGGAGACCAAATCACGTAATACAATAAATAAGCCGTGTTCTTACTGTGACTTCCTATTTTCGAGGTAAACGTTAAATAATTTCGGAAGTGATTTATTTATTCTGGACTTGTATATGGAATGTCCTCCTAAATCTACTATATTTGTTAATCTTTTTCAATCCTCACAGTTGAAGCCTATTGGCAAATTGTAAAAGCTTTTATTGTTTAATACTTTGCTTTAAGTTAATAGATATTCCTTGTAGCTTTCGTTTAGACTTTAACATTGATTTGATCAATTATTTTTCTCTTCTTGTCTACTTGTCTGATTAATATTTTTATTGAACAGTTTCAATTAACTAATTCTCTAATTAAGTTTAACTGCTTGGTAATAATTTTTCTATATAAAGAAACAATACCAGTGAGGTTATATCTATCTTTATTTAAATCTAACATCGATGACGTTATAGCAAATTTACAAAATACATTTACAAATATATGCTTATAAAAGTACAACACACTTTCATATACAAAGTACACCTTTGAAGGTGCATGTTAGTTCATTGGTTCAATTAAAGAAAATAGTCAATCTCAATCTGTGTGTAAGCTATATCAATAGCCCTTTGAGAACTTTGCCAAACACGAGTTACCACAAAACTCTGTTGGTAGGTAATATCAATTATTTTACTTCGACATCTATTGGATAATTTAAATTCCGAATTCAGAGCCATATTAGTTAATGTCGCATAATTCCAATAAGAGTGTTACGACTTCAAAAGAAAAATGTATTACATGCTCCAAACTGATCCAAGTTTGAAAATTTTCAAAATTGTTCTCTAAAGAATGACTTCAAAATCTAAGCTCCCGGCATAAAAATATGTTGCTTATATATAGTGTAGTATTCATCGATACATATGCTACAACAATACACCAACCCTAAACTATGTGATTATGATATACTGGCATCACGACAACATGCCATAGAAAACAACAACATAAGTTTGATTATGTTTACATCATGTCTATTATATCGAACATCGTCCTCTAACTAGCGCTACACCATGTGTCATAACGAACAAAGCAGGTTTTACAACTATTTGCAAAACACCTAACACAATCATATCATCAAAATATTGAACATATCCACTGATTTGCTTACATAAATACGGGATTATGATGATATTTTTGAAGCAACAAACCATGGCTTACAGATGCTTGGTTATCTCATCTTTATCATTTCACTTATCTTGCTGTACCATTCATTTGCTTAATCATTTAACAGCGACATTGCTGCTTCATTATACACGTACCAATATTTTCTGTATTTACACACTTGATAACATTTAACTAAGCTAATCATATCAGTTAGTGCATTAATCAAGATTGGTATATATCCACAAGAGGTATAACTGTTTTGTTTGTCTATAAATGTCTCCATTACGTTTATATAATTAAACATTAGTAACAGGGGTTTTACTATCGTCCGTTTTCTCTGCGACAATTGCATTCATTTGTCCATAACCACCGTTCATTTTATGTGAACCCTTTCTATACTCCTTCAAAATTTTGCGAATCTCTTCAAACATTGGTGCTATGACAACAATAAGCGCCATGACAACAGCAAAAATCTGTGTTCCCCAAATCCAAAATGAAAACTGTGTAAGATCCATTTTGGGAAACATGGCCATGATTCCAGGAATTACAATAGCAAACGCTACAATACATACAGCGCCCCCTATATATGCCACTAGTTTTGCGCGTCTGAATGTTGCCGCCATTTGCTCAAAAGTTGGCTTTCCTTCGTATTCTAAACCCACTAAATCCTCTCTGTAATTTAGTTCCCATGGATTAAGTGGGTTTTCAATGTCATACATTTTCTGCCATTCTAAATTTTCATCATCTACATTCTTGATGTTATGTGTATACAGTGATACAATAATGCAGCCGAGCAGACTTGCGCCAAAGCTGCTACATGTTCCCGCTAAAATAGCATAGTTTTGTACGGTATTTCGTAGAAATTCCCCAAGTCCTCCCTCGTAGAATGAGGCAACGGTTAATGTAGCTGTTATTCCACAGAAAAGTCCAGCGATTCCACCTGAAATAAAAAAATATATAATAATTTACTGTTTTGAACTTAAGAATTACACGATATTAATGTTCAGACAGATTCAACGTATTTTCATTATATCCTAGGACAGAGCAAATCAAACCGAATCCTGTGATTTTCACTTTTTGATTTTATTTACAAGACATCTCCCTTATCTAAATTATTCAAAAAGTATAAACTTAAATTAAATTTCATGAAAACTCTAAATCAGAAAAGGTTATCTTGAAACAAGATTTATAACAATTTCTTGTAAATTAGCAGTTAATTAATACCTGAAATCAGGCCTTTTCCAGTAGCTTTTACCCAAATGATTGATAGAATAACTGGAGGAAAGCAGGGTATGGTTACAATAGCTCCGCTGTAGAAAATCCAGTTGAGGTCAATTCCTGTTTCGAACACAACTAGGCCAATAGGTATTATAGAGATGGTGACCATGACAATACACCAGTCCTTGAAGCCTATAAGACTGTCCTGATATTCTCTATATCGTCCATGTGTGTGACAACTAACACAAATAAAACAATCAAATTATTAATCTAAACCAAGAAATATTCATAAATATATTCTTATGAATAATTATTGAAACATAAATTTCTTTTTTATATTTAATTTATAGTTTGATAAAATTAATATAATAGAGCCATTAGCATATTTCTTTCATATGAATTTAAATCAAAACAAATAATTTTAGAAGTCTTTTCTGCAACATTTTCAATTTCGCCGTTTAACCTACTTTGCGGTTTCCATTAATTTCAATAAAAGTTATAACAAATTTATTGAAGCCTAATTCTATTTGATTAAAGACATTAACAAATGAAACTGTTCAAAAATGTGATAAACTTATGAAATGTAGTGTGTTGGTATGTAACGATGTGAACGTACTTATATGGAGGTTTGATGCCGTTGGAATTTTGAACACTCCTGACCTTCATGTCGTCCTTGCATGGCTGACAACAAGAGACATCCGGGCACTCACAGCGTGATGAAGCATTATTTTTGTTGCTCTTTTTCTTAACAATGTCTTTCTTCTTTTTACCACACAATACACAGTCTATTTCTGTCAATCCTCGCCTACAAAATTGAATGTAAGATATCACATGATAAACATATGTTATAATTTAAGTTATAATGGAAGTGTATAGCAGATGTAACCATGCGATATCGACACAGACAGCTTGTTTCGTGTAACTCAATAGATTTATCTTATGCAGATGTTCCAGCATAAACAAACATGAACATTCAAGCAAACAAAACATAAAAAACATCCTTATATCTCTATGGTTTCATTGAATTTTCAGCATTTAATGTTGATGTGATTATTTTGATAATGGTAAAGAAATGGAATATTATTATTTAACTTGTAACAAGATACCCTTATCTTTTCAAGTTCAGAGACTCGGGTGACAGAGTTTTCATTAAGTGCAATTATAAGATCTTCCAGTGCATTTGAAATAACATTTACATGTGCTCATATATATTTTATATTACTATTAGTATTAGCTACTATAAAAGTGTTTCACAAAATATATTGAAATATCAAACGTTTTCCCCCAATATCAGCGGACATTGCTGTTGTTTTTCTAAAATATATCTTTACAAATGTGTCGTGTGGTTAATTAAATGTTGGTAGTAATCCTCAAAAGTCCACGTCACTTATACAACTTGTCTGAGCAAGGTGTCTTGTCTAATTACGATAACTGTAGTTTGTGTAATAATTGTTAATTACAGGAACTAAATAACAGAGACAATACGTAATTATCTCGTATACATAAACTCTTTTGTTGTGGAGACATCAAAGAAAAGAACAAAAAAATCACAATAAAATTGTCTACGACTGAAAAATATACGAACATTATTAACATACATACGCATACTGGTTTACTTTTATTGCGTTCAGATCAGTAATTAAAGTGGTAACATCTTGTAATAAAACAGTTGATAAGATAAGTAATTGAAACTCTATTACTACTGGAGACAAAATGAGATAAAGCAGAAAAGTCCTTGTAATGGGTTAGTATCTTAACGCCCGATAATTATAAAAGAACCATCTGTCAAAGACCCTTGAGGCGAAAATTCGTATTTACCAAATACTTTGTATTGTAAATTTGACATTCACAAACTTTTATAAAGAATCAGAATAGATACATTTTAAAGAAATCATAAGTAATTAAATAGGAAAAGAAAAGTACAATGTTAGCAGTATATATGAAATGATAACATTTAAAAAGTAAATGTATTTAAATCAAAGAAACATTCGATTCAACAATAAGGTAAATGTAGAACATATTTTGCAACATGCAAATATTTCTAAGCCTGAAAACAAAGTTCTCTTAATTTTGTCAACATAAAAGTTTTATTTTGTATTCAAACACAAAACTTATCTGCTATAAAACATTTAAAATGTTCTTTGTTTAAAATTTTAAGCAATCAATTAAAAACAAAACTGTTTCGATTCAAGATAAGCCTTGATTATCTTTAATCAAAATCATATTAAGAAGAAAATCCATATTTTCCTAAAATGTTATCTTATTGCGTTATTCCATGTATAAGATAATAGTAATTATAAATGTAGACGGGATAAACAGGTGAAAAAACTACATCAACCATATCGGTAATCAGTACAATTGGACATTAACAATTGGAAATTAACTGGCACATCTGATCAAGAAAGTTTACATTTTCTTTAAAGGAATGCAAGTCAAATCTTTGAATACATGTAAATAATTACCTAGTGTTGATTTAATACATATATAATATTTTACCTAAATGGACGAATGTATGTTTGGTAAATATCATATACAATGATAGAAGACATTGCCATAACCTCTCCCGACCCTGTGGACATCAGTGCCATTGCTCCCATGGTCAGAACAAGTATCCCACCTGCACTCCCTAACACCGTTTCTGCTATCAAAGGTGTAACCAAACCTGTGTTTGAATTGAAAATCGAGACTTAGGGCTTCATGGGGAAACATTCAATGATGGAAAAAGGAAAATCAATATTAAAAATGCTTTTGAAATGTAAGCAAATGTGCCTTTCAGTACAATACGGAATCATACAAAGCATCCTATTCAAGTGATAAAACAGATGTTTCTAAATGTTTATAGATGTGTATTTGTCTATCGTTTATAAAAGCCGTTATAATACGTATATATGTTATGTGAGTATACCTTCATCTATTTGACTATGCGTTAGTAGGTTTGTCTTGTTCTCGGAACTGAGTGCAAGGTACGCCAGTCCTGTTGTAGTGGCCATTGTTGATGGTATTGCAAACCACATAAGTCCCCCGAGGAGAAAACCGTACACACCTTGTGTCGGCTTGGCGGCTATACGGCTCTGCCAGGAGGCCTGGTCGCAGTATGTCACCGCAGATGATACGAATACCTGACGTTAAAGATGTAAAACACAATATTTATGTTCGTATGTTCGACCGTACTATGATATATCTGTTGTAATTTAAAGGTTTCTTCCTGTAAATCTAACAATTGAAAGAAATATATTAAATGTATGCGTATCATGAAGGTTTTAATATGAACAAATGAAATCTATGAAAAAAGGAAATAACATTCAAATGCCTTATTTTTCATGTTTAATTTACATTTAACTGTCTATTTTTTATATCTATTATTACAGCACACAGACAATAAAATTTTAATATATTTATAATAATTCAATAAGAGGAACCTCGATAACTCCAAACAGAAAAGCGACACCAGATCTAAAGGTTAGATAACTGTGCTCGTAGTTTTCCTCGGGTCCTTTAATGCATGTGATAGCATTGTACATCTTTTCAACATTGCCGATATTTGCATATTCTTCGTCTGTATTGTGCCAAATCTTCACGACAAATACAATAAGTAAAACAAATACAAGGCAGGCATTGAAATATGATACATAGAACGTTGTTCCTAGTCCCCCGATCAACGAATATGAGCCAAATAATACGGCCATAGTAAGGAGTGTGAATTCGTCCGAGGCATCCTTGGTTAGTGACTGGATGGTCGCTCTACCTGCTAGAAGTATTCCGATTGTAATGACGAGGTTGGTAACTAAGGCAAAACAGCAGAAAACAATGTGTGCATTACGACCAAACCTTGCATGTATCACCTGAAATAGTCAAGAAAACATAACGAGCTTCATGGTAATATCTAACACGAGTTGCATGAAGTCAAGTTTATCATTTACTGTGCTTACTTTACTTAGCACAATTATCATAGTTTATACATTCTTTCACTTACGAAACCTTTCAGTATCAATTGCGATGCTGTAGAATAATGCATGGATCGAGTTAAGATGCAAAGTAATATAATCACAAAGGTCAGTAAGCTTCAGATATCAATTAAGCAATGCAATTATGTACAACAACGCAAGAACAATTGATATATATTTCCATTCTAACATGCTGATAGAAAGAGAAATGATAACAAACATACTGAAAAAACAAAGATCGGAGAAGAATTTTTCATTCAAGACATCATTTGGTTTACTGACATCTGAGAGACATTCATTTCTTTATTCAGAACATGTATTGAGAACTTATGCACCCGACTGCCATGTCCATTTAATTTGGAAGCAGTAAGAAGCGCGTTATATTTTTCTTTAACAGTCTAATTTATTATTTTCGAATTTACCCCATTTTTATATAAAAAAATGTTTATATTTCAGAACTAGTTAGACTGACATTCGGTAAATGCCATTAAATCATAAACATAATCACAATATTAAGGATCTATAGGTTATGCTGTGGTAAAAATTTAAACATAAGAAATGACTTTTGAATAATTTCATTTTCAAAAACAACAACAACAAAAATACAGCAGACGATCGTCTTTGTCCATGAAATTATTTGTTTTGCGAAATCAATCATATTCTCCCCTCACAACACCGACTTTTTCAGAGTAATGTTTTCGAATCCTAGACATACAAAAGTTTATATTGGGAAGAAGCACATGCTGTGCTTTATCTATGGCACGAATTGTTTAACTCATAAAATAATTGCCAATCTGACAACGAGTTGAACACCTTACGTGAGAATCGGAATTAGAGTAGCGAGGGTCGATTTGAAAAGTTCTCCCAGAGAACAATTCGTTCTATATTGTCTGAAGCATACTCTACGTTATGTTTCTAATAGACCTAATGTCACCTATGCAAAAATGGTAATGACAATCATAATTACCTGTAGGTATGTTTTGGCACCAGGTGCTCTGGTTTTGAACTGGACGGAAAATATGGGGAAGATAAAGATATTGAAAATGATTCCGACAGCGTACCAGAAAGGTCCTGCGATCCCATTCTGGAAAAAATGTTGGTTGATTAAAAAATGTATGATGTTTTTGAATGTATCAGAGGTGTATTTTTTAGAACATTATCTTTACATATTATCATTGTCTGGTGTGCATTCATAAGTAACAGGAAAAGAATCATTTAGAAACAATGCAGTTGCTTTCTTTTAATCTTTGGGATGCGTTGTAGTTTTACAAACAATCTCACTACATATTGTAACATAGTTGAAGGTTTTATGATTTAATGAACACTCTTTTTTAATAATGTTGTAAAATATTGATTATCGAGATAAATACTATTATGTTTTAGTACACAAATATAAAGCACGTTACATGTGACAGACTAGAATGAATTAGACAAGTATTATTCCAAGATTGTTGCAAATATCTACATAAAAAAACTAGACCAACATTTAGTAATTCAAGTTCTGTCTTTTTAATATTTGTCAGTGAATCACTTCAACATTTTATTTATTATTAAATGGTATGGCTATTTTTTTTTCTCAACAGGTGACAAAGTCTTTACCTTTGCTGTAAGTGTGGCACTATGCAGTATATCACCTGGCCATATCAGTTGGGAGGCTACAGTAACTGCTGTCAGACTGAGAGATACGTTACCACCGGCGTCGAATGTGGTGTCTAAATTATGCTCATCATGAAATATATGCTTCCTTAGTGCATTGTGAACCAACGCCAGAATGATAGAGAATCCTCCGAATCCTAGGATCATCAACAACGCTGACTCATAACGTTCCAGTACCGGCTCAACACTGTAATGAAGGTCAATAAACGAAATAATTATTTTTGTGAAAGTACTTAATTGATTCGTTTAAGAATATCACAGCATTTCATAGTGTTTTCCATGTAGTAGTTTGGAGGCTACTGACTAACTGATAGGAAGAAGCAGAGCAGATTGTGGCCTTTATCTTAAAGGACTATTTGCAATATTTTCAAGTCCAGGCTAAGGCATGAAGAAATTATGAGCTGAAGATAAATATTTACGGAACTAAAACCATTTCTTTTATAAACATATTGTACTTTTTTAAGTATCATTCGTATTTTGAATAAATGTGTTGTATAGAAACAGTTTACATAAATAGAGCATTGCTATGAGAAAAATAAATTTTCGACTCAGATTCGGATGTTGAATTGCTCTTAAAAAGTGAAATTTGTGTTTCAAAAATCTTAAGGTTTTGTGTGTTAGTTTGCATATGCTTATATAATTATCATCCATGTTATCAGCAACACTTTAGAAAATGAATAGGAATATCATTGATTATTTCAAAGTTGAAAAATTATTGATGTTGAAATGATTTTATTTTTTCATGTAAGCAGGTGTCGAATTGATAAGAAAAGATCAAAGGATCAGTATCTATATCGTACTATAAATATTAACGGTTTTTACTAAAACGAAAATGTTTAATATAAACAGTGTTTGTACGTCTCAACCAATAAACATAACGTCGGAAAATTATACTAGTAATATTCACATTTTCAAATAAATCATTTAATTGTTGAAATACCAAAACATCACCCAGTCTATATTACTTTACCTCGATTAATATCTTTAATACACTAGTCCATACCAGTCACGATATTTAGGGAAAAATTCAAAAGTTTAGTGCATACTATGATCAGACCTTGGTCTGTTGCCGTTAACAAGCTTAGGGTTAAAAACTACTATAACCACCCCTACCCCCCCCCCCCAAAAAAAAGGGGGATGGGGGAATAAACAGGCAGTCCGTGGTATCCTATGTGTGCAAGTGCAAACGACAGACCTTTCCATCATTAAAGGGTACACCAATATCTGGTCTAATTCTGTACTACTTTACATAATTTAGAAAAGCAGTAGGGAAACGATTATATTAAGCAATATAAAAAGACTGTACGTTTTTAATTCTTTGGAATTTTGAATTTGTTTTTAATGAACATGTAAATAAAATATGTATACTTTTATGCTGACAGTTGATAAAGGGATAATTTAGATTTATTAGAATCATTTTCAGATGTTGATGTCAACAAAACATTTGAGTTAAACGATAAATCTATGAAAGCGACAAAGGGAATTTAAATTGCAGTATTTAAATCTATTCTAAAAAAACTGATGCTTTGATAAATGTTACTGACTTTAAATTATTGCATGAGGTACAAACACAGCACTATAAAAGTGTGTTTTTCTTTTACATATCAAATACATAACTTATCGCAACCATAAATGACATACCGATTCCTGCTATTGATTTTTTTTGATTAATTTTGATTCTTGCTTATCACGATATGGAAAAAACGAAGAAAAATCTGACAGAAAAAAAAGAAATCGTTGTATTTTTTCCGAAGTAAAGGGTCGTTTAGTCTCACAGCTTTAAGACGTAGTTAATTGGAAATACGTGAAGAACAGATCCTCCAATGATTCTACGGTTTCATTCTCCTGCTCAAGTATTAATTTTACGAGGTCTATAAACTGTTTCTGCTAAGAAATGTGAATTTAATTGTGGTTATCAGATTGTGTGCCCGGGGATTTCGCGTGAATTTACTTGATACCGGACCGAAATGGCCTAATATGGTCCTAATGCGGGCCGCCGTGACAGACAGCTGACGCTCTAAGCGCGTATTAATCAAGCTTAAATATATTGTATTGTCTTTTCAATTAATTATAGTCCGATAACTCACGATCTATAAAAACGTATCTTTCTAAATCCATCTAAATACGCAGAATCCAATATGGTCAATACAGCTAGCGACAACAAACACGCCTACGATACTGCATTGAAGGATGTCTTTTAAAAAAAATGTTCGTAACAAAATTGTTATAAAAAAAGTTCAAATTAAGAGCAATGTACATGAAACAAGGCACGAGTACTTCTCTTTTCTTGTGAACTTCATAGTAAATGTTTAATAAGATACAAATCTCAGTAAACTTCAATGAAACAATAGTCATTACATGGCACTGCAGTTACGGTAAGCCCATATATTTTGACAATAAAAATGTAGTTAAACGTTCCTTTGTCGGGTAATATGTAATTAAATGGAAATCGTATACTAAGCAATGGGTTTGAACTTAATGGGGACAGAATTGATACAGAAATAAATAGCATTTTATTAGAAAAAAATATATAAGTTTGTAAGAACCGAATGCAGGGTATGAATATTTCTTTTAGTTAAGAATTAATTTGTCTTCATTTGTCTTTCTCATAAAAGAATATGAATAATTTATATACTTAAGTTGAGAAATTCAATATAGTTATACAAAATAATTTTATTTTTCCATTTCATTGCTTGCAATTTTATTAAAATATGCCTTCTCTTCTCTAATAGAATAGAGCTAGAAAATAGGTAATGCTATCGATATATGTAAGTAATAATTTTACGTAGGAAATATTGCAGATACTTTAGTCGCTTTTCCGTTTCTACAAAACTTATGCGTGTGACAAAAACTTTTCCTATTACATATAATGCAATTGAATTTGTTTAAGAAATCTAACGCCAAAACGGGCCTTCAAGTCTTGTAAAATACAGCTGATGTTTAGTTCGTTAACAAACTGACCGTTTTCTTCAAATTAAAATTAACAGAACTGCCTCGATTTGTAAGTGTTTGATACAGTACTCATTGGGTCCAGTTTTAGCGCAACATCAACATGTGAAAATAATTAGACAATACATGACCATCAATGATAAACATAAATATCGATTTTTTTTCTCTGTATTTAATGTCAAACACAATTAAGATACTTCAAAAATGTCTAAAAGAACTAAATTGTGTCTTTTAGATATTTAATATCACTTTTTGGTTAAAATGTTAAAATATTGACAACAAATATTCAGGAAGATGTATAAAACTTACTTTTATCTTGTAAATGTCATTTTATGCGACATTTTAAGATTTACTTTACGAGAGAATGTTTCTATATATCTAATTTCAACTTTAATAAAATTTAATGAATTGATACGAAATTTCATGATATTCAATTATTGTATTTTAATGTTCAACTAGATGGAAAATGACTAATTTAAACTCAAATCAAGTCAAAATAATTTGATCATTTTGTACAAAGTTATAAATAAGATATGGTCGATAGATAATAGAATTTCTTGCAGGAAAAAAAATAGAAAACACTATTAGTTTCGGAAAGTTGCAGAAATAAATAACTTGAAATCAAATAAGCTAGAATGACATATTTCGTTTATGACATTCTGGATGATTATATCTTCGGAATTTGTGTGCCATGGCGAGAGGTCAACGTTTATTTAAAGTTGAAATTATCAACGGAAAGGCTTGGTTTTATGGATATTGCAGTATACAATGTTCAAACTGAACATGCTCCCGGATAAGAGTTAGAATACATGTAAAGATAGGGAGCATTCTCCTGTATAGATGTGTATTAGTTGTACTCTATTGTGAACTTTACACGCATTTATCAAACATGAAATTACATATAAATAGATCTATCATTTTAACTTTAAAGTTAAACAAGAACACAAGAATGTGTAAAAACTCAAGAATTCTAAATTGTCAAAACTTTCACTACTGTGAAAGAATGAAATTTCGCCTGCATTATAACATTTTCTGTTTTAAGATGTTCTCGTTATTTCTTTACAGGTCTACAATTTTACATGTTTATTGATCATATTCAAAAGATTTATTCAAATAATTAAGCTGGAAAAAACACTGTTATTAAAATTACAATTGTTTAAATTCAGACAACCATTGTTTTCATTAAGTATATTTTATACTCACCGTGCATTTGACCATTAACATGACAAATAGAGTAATGAGCATTATGTGAAAGTCATATATAATTATATTTTGTATACTAGTGTATATGGGCAAACCATTCATTTAGTCAGTTATATATTGCGTGCTTGTGATTCAATACAAAATATCTCCAAAATGTTCAGTCGTTGACTTTTCTATATACATTGATATACCTACTCAATGTATTTCAATGTCATCTCAACAAGGGCTACTTTACAAAGCTGTCTATGTTATACCGTTAGTTTGGTAAATTGATATTTTGCACCTTATAAGATATGACCAATGCACTTTCAGCATTTGCATTTGTTACGTGTTTCGATAGAAGTCATATTTGGGTCACGTCTCGTTTTCATTACCAGATTCCCAAAAGATCCGTATTAATTCTATAATTATCACACCCCATTTGGCCTCATTTTCATTTTCAGAGTAAAAAAGGTTCATATCAAACAATATCGCATCCCATCAAGCCTTGGTATCATTTCTGAGAGTCCAAAATCCATTTTAAATCATATTGTAATTGAAGTAACAAAATCTGGTCAAATTGTCAAAAATGGCAGTGTGACATAAAGAGGTCATTAAACATGGCTGAGAAAATAACTGATTCCATGCTTGTGCCTCGTCCAATATACGTACATTTAGATTTAGCAGCTGTGTAGTCGTCCAACAGAATTCAGTATTGTACTCAACAATGTAAAATAACCTTATAATATATAATTGTTATTTTGTGGTCAAAATGCATATACTTATTACGGGAGACACACAGACGTTGTCATGATAAAGCACCATTAATTCCTTGACGTCTACATTCTAACACAATGAAATGGATGCAAAATTAACACAATTTGTTAAATATAAACCAAAAAAAAATAAAATAAATGCCAACTTATTTAGACTAAAAATAATTTTTGAAAACTATGACCATTGTTTTACATTTGTATATTTTATTATAAATGATAAAGAGAAAATAACCAAGATTTGAATAAAACAAATAATTCGCTTTATAAATATGGAAACTGA